CAGCTCTGCCATGGACGATTTCAGCCTGGAAGCTTCTACGACCGCGTCTTCTTTCTTCTTCGTGGCTTGAATGAGTTTGTGAGAAAGCTCCGCCACGGCTAACCGCCACTGCTCTTCTCTGGAAGCGTCGGCGGCGGAGGAGGAAGAAGACCGCGGAGGAAGCGCCGCTGTGGAAGCGGGTTTGGGGCTTCTCCGTGTGAGAGATTGGAAGATTGATTTGATTATGAGATTGGGGCTGGAGATGAAAGAAGGGTTGCTGTGACTGTCGAGAGGCACGACGGAGAATTTGTCTCGGTGAGAGTGATGAGGCCGACACTTGTTGCAGGAGACGGCGCCTCCTTCTTCGTCGTCGTCGTGTCGTTTTTTGTTTTGAGCTTTTCCGTTTCCGTTGTGGTGGAGAGGCGTTAGAGTGTGCTGGTGGTTGCTGTTGCTGTTGCGTCGGTGGTGGCTTGGAGTGGTGGAGGAACCGCCGTCGCTGCTCGGTGTTGCTCTGTTTTTGTATCTTTCTTCGTGGAGGTCGTCTTCTTCACATTCTGGAATCTGAAAATAAAGACATGATTTTTTTTTCATTTCTCGGTGTAAATCATGCCAAAATGGGAAAGAGAATCTAAAAGACTTTGAAGAATTTGATTCTAGCTAAACAATTTCAATTCCACGATTTTGTAAAAAGAACAAACTTTTTTTGGTCACAGAGCAAGACAAAACAAAACAAATTTGAGGTATGTGTGTTCTTCGTCCATGGCGAGTAAATTCCTGCGTTTTTCTTGAGAAACAAACAAGAGAGGTTTCGAGTTTGACTTACAGGAGTGAAGTGAAGGGATTGGTGAAGAGATGGAGCAGGAGATTTGGAAGGAGAAGATGAAGACGACGGAGCCATTTTTGTTTCCTTTGCTCTCTTTTTTTTGTTTGCTTTAATATCTCACTTTTATATACACACACACTACAACATCATGATAATATAAATTATTATCAAGTCAATTGTAAAGGAAAAAAAAAGAGGTAGTAGAATAATAGTATAATGATGATTTTTTTTTGGTTAAATGGATGATGATTATATTTTCTTTTAGTTTTGTGCCTGGTAAGTTTAGTCAAATATTAAAATTTGTTTCCATCTTAGTTCAAGCTAAAACCAAAATGAAGACTGTGCTCATTTAGACATTATCATTTCGTATACTCCAAAAAATGTTTCTTTGTATATACATTTGAATCCCATATTACTGTTATTCAACAGTATATTCACTAGATCTCTATAAAACTTCAATGTTCCATGTTTTATTGGCGTTTGTTCTTTTCATTCATTTGGTTTATAAGTTCTGCCTGTTTCATAACACTAAATTAGGAGTGTTACTTTTCATGATTTATTTTTGTTTGCCAACAACTTTTCAATTTTGTAAGTCAAATATCTACAGACTTACGTGTGTGTGTGTGTACATGAAGTGTAATGATTATAGTTTCCTTGGATATGTAAAAGGGATGTTTAAGTTTCTCTCTTTTCGTTTTCTGTCGATATCTATTGATCATCTCGTCAGAGCTTGTGATCATTTCTTCTGAAACAAACCAGAGAGTTTTGCTAAAAGCTGGAGTATTTATCAAAAAAAATCTATGCAAATTAAGTAATTTTTGTTTATTGACGCAAGAAAATACCTTTATATCTTGCTGATAGATTGATTCTATCATATGGGTTATAAAAAAAAAGATCTGGATAATGCATTTACTCACCGAATACTTTGAATTGATTTCCGTGTCTAGGTAAACATATAAACTTGGAATTATACAAAATACAAACAAAGCTATACTTACACGTTGGTGTAGTATTTGGGTGTAACGACAACCACCGTCAGAAAAAAAAAAGAGAGTTATATGCACTTTTTTTTCTTTTTCAATCTTTTCCTTTTTCATATAAAGTGTACAAAAAATTTGCTACCAATAAATGCATATTGGGTTGCATATAGATTTGATGTTTGCAAGTTTGGGTTTGTATTCTATTTCTGTTTCCATTCAATTCCCACATACAATTACCTTATAGTGGAAACTACCCCAAAAAATATAAAAATCCATGCTTATAGTGGAATCTACATAAAAATAAAATCAACAATAAAAATATCATGAATCCATCTTTAGCATCAAATATGGTAATGATAACCTATAAAGCAATTTTTTTAAAATGATATCATATGCTTGTAATTGTATTTGAAACGTGATTTTATTAGAGTAGGGTTTCTGTTGCCTGTTGGTACAAAAGACATAGCATCATTATTTGATATAGAGAGTAAATGTTCAAGACATTATATACGGTAAAAGTGAAAACAACATATAGTACAATGCTATACCAACTTCATGACTCCATTCAATTTCTTAGTTAGTTTGGTCGTTTCAAACTTTCAATTAGTACATCGACCTCTCCTAGTTATGGGGATACTTATTGAATTCACCATCTTTTATACAGTCCCATTTTAGATTTGATTAGTAATCTCTTATTATATATGACGGTAAATGATGTACTGTTTGAGTGGTTTACTAATCAAATGAACGGATAATAGAGCAATTTTTGTTTGTACTAAGTTACTCCTTGCCATTTTTCATTACTTCCACCGGTGTGATACTTAAAACACTGTTTTCACAATTAAAGAGTTTGGATATGAAGTTCAATCTTTTATAAGATCTCGTGAATGCGTAAGAAGACAGACATAGACATCAAATCGCTTAAAATGAGATATGAAAGTTTGCATTTAATATTTGTTGCTTAGCAATAAATATAGAGTAGGGGGAATTGTCACATTAAATATTGAGAAGAGCATCAACTGCGAATCCAGCTAACTCATTTATGAGAATGGTTGACCCACATTACCAAACAAAACCTCTTTTGGCCTATGACTTGTTAGATTGGTGTGCCTTATTCATTGGGTCTTCCTTCTCTTTCAGCTCCCAACTTTAACTCCAATTCTATATCTCATGTGACTGAGGTTTTGAAATTAATAAACAAGCATGAGAATCGAGACAGGAGCTCAGGAAGGGATAAAAAGCATTTTGATTAATGTAGTTTTCAACATTCTAAGGTGTTATTTATAGAAAAAAAATATATCGATATACATAGTTGAGGTAAGACAAACTTTTAAGCCAAGAAATTCCATGTCGAATTATAACTAATTTATAGAGTCTATACATTTGAATTATGCAGTGGCAAAAAAAAGGAAGTATGTGCATCGACACTAAGCTACCACCTTAGTCTTGAACTCATAATCTGTCTAGAATCAAGATCAAAACCATGGAATTGTTCTATCAAGTGCTAGACGTGAAAAATCTAAGTATTTTTTTACTTTTCCTGTGCCATTTTAACTTGAGCAGAGGGAACAAAAAAATACACATGCTAAACAGAAAAATGTGAAGGAAATTAATGGGAGAGCAATAGGGTAAGATTGTCCAAAGGCTAATAAAATTTGAAAGGGTTTTTGGTTTTGGGCTCTGAAAGCTGGCTGACTTTGCGTGACATGTCTCTGTGTACTGGTTGGATCATGTGCACGTGACGCCTCTCTTTACCTCCTTTCTCATTAACTTTCACCCTTTCAGCATTTTCGCCATTTTATTTATTTTGAGAAAAAGAGAGATAATATTAGTGATCGCATGTTCGGTCAGACCGCTCAGGATCCGGACACGGCAGCCCAACACCGCAGGGAACTTCGGTTCACGACAAATGCAAGCGTCAGCTGTTTTCCTCCCATGTTGTGTTTTCCTCCAACGTACATTTTCAGTCATCAAACTTTGTTTTTGGTTTCTTTCAGTTTTGTATTATTAGAGTGGAATTTTGAATAATACCAAAGAAATATCCACAAAAAGCATATACTGTTCATTCACAAGTATAAATCATCAAACAATGCGGATTATGGAGTATTTTTTTATATATAAATGATCATGGATTATGGAGACTAATTACGGCTTACCAGAGTTTTTAACATGATGTAAGCTTCTATTCTTAGTTGGTTTTGTATGTTAATGTAAACTATTTATCATGAACATGGTAGGTACATGTAAAATTGTTTGTTGTGAATTTAAACGTCGCTTCATCAATGATAAGATATATTTGTAATTTAAAACAAACAATCTTCTAGGGATAAAAAGTTATTGGGTTGGATATATCATCGGAGTCTTCAGATATTTGATTAGTTGGATTTGGGTTAATTGATCACCCTATTATTGTTTCTACGAAGAAGAAGCGATAACCACGAAATCAGGTTGAACCGAACAGCTGATTTTTCTTGACCGGAAATGAATATCTTAGGAGTCTTGAAATATTAAACCGGAGGTTAAGTGGCTTATTAGTTTTTCTTCTGGTAAGTCATGGAGACTGGACACTGGAGAGTATGGGCTCAAACAATCTTATAAAAACTGTTCTTAAGCCCAATGTGATGGCATCTACTGATCATCCTGCCAATTATCATCAATGGTCGGTTCTTAATAAATGCTCTTTGACCCAAATGGATCACTTTTTTCCCCCAAAGTCTGAAGCTTATGCTCATCACAGGAAATGCACTTGTAGAATTATCAACTTTCCTTGTATATAGTTCTGATCTTTCTCCCTTTAGTTCACTTCATCACATGTTTATCTAACAGAAGATGAAAAGATGTAAGAAACAATCCTTTTCACCTTAATCAAAATAGTTCTTTTAGACAAGAAAGCCATGACAGTTGAGATTGCTTCACTATAATTGTGCTAAATTGTCTCTGTTTCTGCATACTTTTCATGTAAATGTGCTAAATTGCTTCACTAAGTGGTTGAAGTTATTTGAGACAAGTTGAGAAAGTGATGAGAAACAAACAAAGATGAAAAGATTTTACAGTCTTGCTCAATCTCTTAAACGATGTAAGCCTTTTTGAAAATCATCAGTCTTAGCTGAGATTTAAGACAAAGTATGTTACAATATCTATGGAATCTTATGTACAAAGCGAAATACAAGATCCAAATAAACATTTCTCACAGTTCTCTTTCTGTCTCTTACAACTTTCTAAATACTAAATACATGTTCTTCTCCTGACCTCTGATCAACATGTGTGATCCATCTTCTCTTACTCTTCTTCTCACTCTTCCCCGAGCTCCTACCCGCCACATGAGCAATCTCAATCCCACCGGTGACCGGAAGAGTCACCGTCCTAACAACATTCCTATCTCTCAAAGCCCGTCTCCAGCTGAAACCCGAAGAGCTGCTTCTCGAGTATCCGTTTCTACACACCACAACCGCTCCTCTGCTTCCAAACGCGGCGTTCCTCAACGCAGCCGCTGCGAATTCCTTGTTCCGCCAGTCCACGACCAAGAAATCGACTCCTTGCAGCTCCTTCATCGCGTTTTCTGGTTCTTCGGAAACGATCGTCTCTGGTAAGTTCAATGGAGATGAAGACTCTTGAATTGCTTGGAGGTAAGCAGTCTCTGATCTCGAGTTTTGTACAATGCATATGTGTTTAGCGTTTGCGTGTTGGCTCGCCACGTTTAAGCCAATACTTGTGGCTATTGCGTCTCCGTCTGACCAAGTCTCCACGATCAGCTTCGCGTTCCATCCAGCCGCCATCGCCGCTAGTAGCTCCGCCGCGTCAGGCGTTTCAAGATTCTCGCACTGAAAGAAAAAAACCGAAAACAGAAACGGAAAATATTATTACAAAGAACACATCACGATTAGTTAATCGAATTAAGATCTGTATGTTTGAGAATTGGATACAAAAATCGAATTTTTATTCGTTTGTATGATTCACCGGAAAACATAAAGCTTACCGATTTAACGGTGTCGAGATAAGCCTTCGATGCAGTCTCCGGAGACCAAACCAATTTCATTTTCGTTTTCTTATTCTTCTTCTTCTACGTCTTCCTCTTCTTTCTCTCGTTTTCTTTCTTCTTATTGTTTGGGTTTTAGCGGAAAGGTTACCAAAAGATGCTTGCTTTTATAGAGCACTTGACAACAAGAAAAGTCTCGTTTCGTCTTTTTATTGGGTAGACTTTTGGATATGGCCCATGTATTTTAGTTTTGTTTCCGGATTTAAACCCAGTACTATCAAATTTAATCAATTACATCCAAGTTTCATTGTTATTTATTCTTTATCCCAACATACAACTGTAAAATTAGAAAATGACTAAATGAGCATAGAGAATGCATCTCTTAACATATGAAGTTTTTTGGTATAAGGGGGTAAACTTTAGAAACTGTGTAATATGTGGGGTTGATAAATAAGTTTTCTGAAATATGATTAGAGTTTTGTTATTTTCTTTTCCATTTTCTAAAAATAAGGTTGTGTTTCTAGATCGTGGACACTATTTGAGCAGAATAAGACGTGTGTAAATAAGATTCAGATTGTAACGATATCTAAAACGAATTACTCTATATTTAGTCCAAAACATGTCTTCTTTTTGTTAAAGTAACTAAGTTTTGAATTTTTCATTTGGTTGGTACAATGAATGCTAATTAGACTCAATTGAATTGACTTAGTATTGTAAGATTACATTAGGTAAAACCAAATGAATTGGGATTAGTTACATCCATCCTAAACGTTTTCATCAGCCAGAAACTTTAAACAACCGGTAGTTGCTCGGATTTCTAAACATTATATAACAATGTCCTAAACTCTAAGACTCCAAATAATTAGTCTATGTAGTGCAATTAATGTGATCTATGATGTATGATAACACAATTATCAATTTCATATAACGTGTAAACCAGTTCTCTTTCCATATTTAGTGCATCAACATAGATGGTTGCATAAGTGATGAAATTATGTGCACTTGAATGGCTTTGAAAACTTTTTCTTAGTTGGATATAATAGATAAGTTCTCATTGATAGTTGATAAGGAGTGTTTGATACTTTTTTCCAGCTAGGTATAATGGAGATCTTCAGGGATAATGCAAAGATTTCAAACAAAGTGAATCACATTTCAAAGCACACTAAAGAACGATAAAGTATAGAACTCAAACATGTGAAAAATATCCAAGTGGAAGAAGGTGATTTTTTAGTCACATGATGATATCATATGCTATCTACATTGATGGTGACCAATGCATTTAACCAATTGTCTTTGTGCCCCATAAATCCAACTATGTGGGACAAATAGATACTTTTTTATAATTCCTATGTCATTTTGACAACGACTCTACTGGCTATGGGTTAAAGAAGTATTAGGTCATGTTTATACCTTTTTAACCCCACTTCCTCAAACTTAATCATTTGTTGTATGGTGGAATTAAGCATTCCAAGCAATTGATTTTTCAGTTTCCACACACTTGAACATTTATCTTAGATGGTTTATTTTAATAGCAAGGCAAACCGACATATTTCAGCTTTGGAGAAAAAGAACGACGCTAACCACATTCTCGAATTTAGATATATCCAGCTAACCATATATGATTCCATTCATTAACGTTTAAGATAATCATTAAGAAAAATTGAAAACAATAACGAAGAAAATTGTGGCGGGAAATGATAAAAGGTGGTTTATTAATATATAGAGTTTTTTTCATAAGTGGTTAGACTCTAATATACATACATTTCATGTTCAAACGAGCTAACATTTTGATTTGATGTTGAATGTTCTAAAGTCTCTCTCACTCTTTTCTATAGTTTCGTGTGGTGCAATTATGATTTATTTTGTCTTCCAAAATTTGAAATAAGTATTACATAATCGAAATGGGCCACGTTTGGCTGGGCCTTAGATCTAAATTAAAACGACTGCGTACCAATACCTTTCTCGTTAAAAGTTGCAAACGCCAAACTCCGATCACAATTTCGCTGTACAGAAAAAGCAAAGAGCTTGTGATTCCAAGAGAGAGAAAACCCGACCCGGAATCTGATCCGAAAACCCCGAAGAATCGAAAACAATGGGAAAGGATGGTCTGAGCGACGACCAGGTCTCGTCGATGAAGGAGGCTTTCATGCTCTTCGACGCCGACGGCGATGGCAAAATCGCTCCGGCTGAGCTCGGGATCTTAATGCGATCCCTCGGCGGGAACCCGACCCAAGCCCAGCTGAAATCCATCACCGCATCCGAAAACCTCTCGGCTCCTTTCGATTTCAACCGATTCTTAGATCTCATGGCGAAGCACCTGAAGACGGAGCCTTTCGATCGCCAGCTCCGCGACGCATTCAAAGTGCTCGACAAGGAAGGTACGGGGTTCGTGGCAGTGGCAGATCTGAGGCACATTCTCACCAGCATCGGCGAGAAGCTGGAGCCTAACGAGTTTGATGAGTGGATCAAGGAGGTGGATGTTGGATCCGACGGGAAGATCCGGTATGAGGATTTCATAGCCAGGATGGTCGCCAAGTGAGATCTAATCTTTTATAGCCCTTTCGTTTGAAGTTTGAATTTTGAATTTGGGTTTCGAATTTATTTGTATTACTTTGTCTGTTGATTCGAGCGAATCCTGGAGTTTGTTTGCAATTGCAATTGGGAATTGCTCTGGGATTAGTACTAACTTTATTGTTCTTCCTGTTTGTTTTCCTTTCTAATGGAAATGTTGTGTGGTGATTCCTACTTTTATTCTAAGAATGTTGAATCTTTCGGTTTTTTTTACATAATTTTCCACTCTTTATGCCTTTTGTGATTTGCATCAAGGAATCTAATTGATACCAATGTGTACACTTCTCTTTCGATCTCGAAATGTTTATGATTCCGATATCTTAGTTCGTTCGTAACCTGGTGTCTATGTTCTGCATCATATAATCTACCATAAGTAACCATAATGGCTCTTCTTAGATAGGATACTATCTTCTTGTTCATTGCACAATCCGTGACCAAGAATGTTTTGTTGGTATTTGAATGGGAAAGTAAATGATTTCGAAATGATTTAAAGATCTTATGTTGCTCTTATGCTAATTGGTACCCTTCATATGGTGTGGAAGGCTTGAAGTTGAAGCTAATCACTTGCTGTTTGATTTTGCTTTTTTTATATGAATAATAACATGTAGGTTCGTCATAGTTACTTATAGGTCAGCAGAAATTGAATAGCTTATGCCCGACATTGTAGTTATTATAGTTTTTTTGGTCCCAACATTGGTCATTGATTCGGTATTGATTCTTCTTGTGATAGATGATGGTAATGCGAAACTGTTTTTCTATTCATTTGATAGATGCATGCTCTGCATGTTTTATGACTTTTAACTACACAAATTGTCTCAACGCAATATCTCTCAACGCAATATCTCTCAGTTGATCAAAACCCCCACATGTTTACTTGTGCAAAGATTTAAAAAATGGTAAGCCAAGTATGAGAGCAAAAGTCGTTCAGTACACTCTGAATCAGAGTAATGTACGTAGTCCGGTTTATATACGAGCACGACCACCCCTCTAATTCAGCTTAATGGGCAATCGATAAAAGTGAAAAAGTTAACGAATTTATGGTTTTGGGCCATATTCTTGGAAACCCAAAGAGAAATGGTATCGCGTGGCACAGACATCGGTGCCGGAGGGATCTGAATCTACACAGTTTCTGCGGAGGATCAAGGAGACGATCCGGTTCGAGAAAGTGGAGGATCGAATCCTCAGAGAGGAAGGTGAAGATACTTCTGTACCGTAGGTACACTTGCGTTATTATGTTCTCATCGAAGATGGTTTCGAGATTATGCGTCTGTACGTATGGTCTGAGTAGGCAAAATCAAAACTTTCATCACACAGATCTTCTGGGATAGATGCTGGATTGTTGTATTTGAAAGTCTTATGGATCTGTCAGATTTTCCCTACTCCGCCCATACCAGACATACGCTTAGTCCTGAATCCATCTCTTATGGGTAAGCTACTGGGTTCCAAAGCTGGCAAAGACTCTACTCTGCACTTCGTTAGTTACTTACCTTCATTCAGTTTCAGGTAAGCCATACATGAACTCTGAATTCGTATGTTTCTATCTCTTTATGTTTTGGATAATTACCGTAGCTGAAGATTCTATACTCGTATGCTCTGCTAATCTCGTTTGCATTTTCGTTTTTACTTCTTCTACGACTGTCATGTTATGGTTTTGAAATGTTCATTGGATTTTATGATACTTGTTCCCGCATTGTAAGTTACCGTATTTCTCTATTGTGAACAACCTTAAAAACAGGTTCTATTGGATGAAACAGACCGGTTTGCTCCGGTCTGGTGTTGTGGAGTCGGATTCGAAATTTGGTGAAACTAATCCTTACATTTGAATGTTTCGGTCATGGACATGGTGGCCTTTCCAGTCTCTGATGTAAGTCAAACAATGTTTTTGTTTCTCATCCCTATTATTTAAGAATCAACTCTCTGTTGTTTAACAAAAGGGATAACGATAGAACACCATTTAGTTGCGTCTGCAACTAGCATAATCTTTGTTAACTGTTATTCATGGAAAATCATTGGAAAACTCTCCATTATTGCTGATTGTTAGAATATAGCGACGACTTGGACTAATAAAATTACCACCAAGTTCCAAGTTGGGGTATAATTATTAGTATAATCTTGAAATTATTGGAATCTTACTATATTAAATTAATTTGTTAGGATTGCAGGGGATTCAACTACGTAGACTACTTGGACTCATTCACAAAATTACCAACAAACTCCAAGAACTCAACATCTGAGTTCTTGCCTTCTGAATCTCTCTTTCGTGTGTCAACTGCAAGATGGGTGGATGTTATCTCAAAAGCAACCGAGTTCGTGGTTAACCTATTTCTGTAGCTGTTTTGTGTCGAAGTCCACCATATTTGTAGACTCGACAAGAATCTAGAGGCTCTGAAAAAGCCATGGGAAGACTGCAGGCAAGGCGAAATGATGTGTTGATTCGGTGAAGAGGGACGAGGACAAGGCTTACAAAGGCTTAATGGAGTTCAGGTATGGCTTACGGATGTCGAGACAATTGAATATCAGGCCGATAAATTGAAAGCATATGGCTTGTACTAGTGAACTTCAATGGTTGTCTCTTTGTGATGTTTGTTCAAAGAAATTAGCATCAAGGTTTCTTTACGGGAAAGAGGTTTTCTCGATGTTGGAAGATGTTAAAGAGCTCATAGATCGCAAAATAACTGGAGATTCAATGCTTTGTCTGCGCCACCTACGAGAGATGTGGTGGAGGAAAGATCTACACAATCATTGTTGGTCAGGAAACAGTTCGAAAAGGCATGGAACCATCTCATGGATGATGGAACCCAGATTATGGGTCTCTACGGTATGGGTGGAGTAGGAAAAACAACTCTTCTTGAACAGATCAACAATAAGTTTAAGGTTGCAAATGATGATGGGTTTGAAAAAGTCATTTGGGTTGTTGTGTCCAGCAATCTACTGATAGAGAAGATTCAAGATGAGATCGCTGAGAAACTAGGCTTTCCTCGAGAGAATGGAAACAAAAGAGAGAAAAAGAAGGCCACTGATATACACACTCGTTTGAAGAACAAGAAATTTGTCTTGTTACTGGATGACATTGGAAGAAGTAGATTTAAAAGAAATCGGAGTCCCATTTCCGACAAGGGAAAATGGATGCAAAGTAGTATTCACCACTCGTTCTAGAAAAGTATGTGGCCAAATGGGGGTTGATGACCAATGGAAGTCAAATGTTTGGATCTGACGAAGCTTGGGATTTGTTCCGTGATAAAGTTGGGAGAAACACATTAGAAAGCCACCAGATATTCTTGAGCGTGCGCGTCAAGTTGCTAGAAAATGTCGTGGTTTACCATTGGCGCTGATTATCATCGGCAAAAATATGGCGAGCAAGAGGACGGTACAAGAATGGGATGAAGCAATCGACACTCTTGCTTCTTCTGCCGCACAATTTCCTGGTATGGAAGACCATATTTTTCCAATTTTGATGTACAGCTACGATAGCCTCGGGGGTGACCATGTCAAGTCTTGTTTCCAATACTGCGCTCTATTTCCAGAAGATTTTTATAGAAAAGGAGAATTGGTAGATTACTGGATATGCGAAGGATTCATAGACGAAAAGAAAGGTATAAGGAAGGCTAAAAACAAGGCTCATGGGATTATTGGTACCCTTGTCCAGGCTTGTTTATTGATCGAAGAAGGAGAGACAAATCAGAGTGAAAATGCATGATGTGGTTCGTGAGATGGCATTGTGGATAGCAAATGATTTTGGGAAGGATGAAGAGAGATGTATCGTGCAAGCTGGTGTTGGTTTACGTGAAGTACCAAAAGTTGAGAATGGACATCTGTGAGAAGGATGTCGCTGATGGAAAACGAGATTGAAAAGATATCTGACACTCCAGAATGCCCTGAGCTTACAACTCTGCTCTTCCAAAAAATAAGATGGAATATCTCAGGTGAATTCTTCAAGTCTATGCCCAGTTAGTCGTATTGGATCTATCGATAATAGAGATTTCAATGGATTGCCAGAGGAAATATCAGAGTTGGTCTCCTTGCGATATCTCGACTTGTCATTTACAGAGGATACGACTGCTGGTGGTTTACTGAAGTTGAAAAGCTAATATATCTGAATTTGGGAGCACGTGGCAACTTGAGAGTATTTCTGGGATATCAAAGCTGTCGAGTTTGAGGACATTGCGGCTAGCACATTCCAGTATGCGGCAAGATCTCGACGGAATGAAGGAACTGCAGCTCTTAGAACATCTAGAAGTGGTGACCGTATATATCGGGTCAATTTTGGTTGCAGATCAATTGTTAAACTACTGATACCAGACTAGTGAATGCTATTCAAGAGATAAATTTTTTCCTGAAGGAAAAAGACGTATTGACTATTCCGAATATGGCGGTTCTCATAGGCTCGAGATGTATAGAAGTGAAATGGTGGAGATAAACATAGAGAGGAGCACCATCGCGGAACAAAAGTCCAACAACTTCAGGCTTCCCAAATCTCTCCAAGTGAATTTAAGTTATTGCGATGGTCTAAAGGATTTGACCTGGCTTTTATACGCTCCAAACCTTAGTTCTTAAAGTTATAGCTCAAGTCAAATAGAAGATATAATCAGCAAAGAGAAAGCTGAGAATATCTTCACAGAGGAAGAGGCAGGAACCATCATTCCTTTTCAAAGACTAGAGCACTTCCAAGTGAAAGATTTGCCGAAGCTGAAGAGCATCTACTGGAGTCCTCTCCCTTTCCCACGTTTGAGGTAAATTCAACATAAGGTGTCCAAATCTGAGAAAGCTTCCATTGGATTCTAAAAGTGGTGGCAGCAACCCGGGTGAAGATCTTGTCATACATAATGAGAACAAACTGGATTCGAAGGTTGAATGGGAGGATGAAGCCACTAAAGAGCGTTTCCTACCTTCTCTCCAACAATCCTGGATTGATGAGTTTGAATGGGAGGGTGAAGCCACTTAAGAGCGTTTCCTACCTTCTCTCCAACCTTAAAGAGTAGACCCATGATCCAAAATATTGTTCTGTTTCTCTGTTTCTTCTCAACTTGCATCGTTACTCCCAGTCCCAACTTGTCACGGACAAATATCGAGAGTTGCCTGAAACGTCTAGAATATGTAAATTTGGAATTCACGGAGAGACTTTTTTTTTTTTTTTCACGGAGAGACTTAAGACTATATTAGTGGGATATCAGATGTGATATCAGATGTACCAAGTTTAGAAGTATTGAGACTACGAAGTTCTAAGTCTTTGCTTGGTGTTAGTTCAATAGAGGAACTCCAAGGCTTGGAACGACTCAGGATTTCTACTGAAGAGGTATACATTAGAAAGAAGCATACAAAACATATTGTTATATGGTATGACCTCTATCTCAATCTCTGTCTCTCGAGTCCCAAGGATTTCTTACATTTATATTTCATTCATTCATCATAGTTTGAGGTGGTCGAAATAAGAGAAAGAAGCAAGCAACAATGGTTTTTTTTTTTCAAGTTTGAAGGGCACGCAACGGCCATAATTAATTACCCGCCAGAAAAAAAAAACAGTTATAAAATGAAACGAAACAAGAGAATTTACAAATATATTTCGAATCTTAATCGAAGGACTGATTCGAGGCGATGGGAACATCGCTAACCTCGAGTTCAAGCGAGCGATGGCTCTGCAGAGACACACCGCGAGAGAAGCAGGAGCGTCGTCAATCTCTTAGAAAAAATGTATATATCTTACCGCAATTCTACGTCCGTTTTACGTTTCCGTTGATTTGCTTTTCTGGTTTGGGTTTGATTCGTCAATCTTATAGTTACAATTGGATACTTCCTCGAATCTGAGTGTATAATTTATTGAAATGGAAGCTCAGGAGATCGGGTTCTAGGTGGCTTTGGGCTTAGGCAAGTTAGTGGAACTGATTGCACACCACTTGTACGATGAATTGTCTCTATGAGTATCAGAAACAGAGGCACTTCTTTCTTCAAACACAACCATAATCAATATCAAAACAGAACCGCTCCTCTTATCTATTACAGGTAAATGATTTTGATCTTTGAATCTTGAATAAAAAAACTCAAGTCTTCTAGTTGCAAAGTGAAGTTTCGTAGATAAAAGCTTTCTTTCTACGAGTCGCATGGTTATATGCCTACCTACTCCACTATTTTGTTTTTCTTATAAGAATTTGGTTGAAATGAATTATATGCCATTCCTGATCTTCCTTGTAACTTCCAAATCCGTGTTTTATTCATAGGTTCTGACTAGGTATTCGAGCGAAGAATATTTTACTGAATTGTTTTTTAATTACGTAGCAACACGTTGATTGTTGCATATTGATATAATTGTATAATACATTACATTTAGTGGGTCATAGTGAAATTGCATATTACATTTATCAACATAACATGTGATGTCTCTCCAACGGAGAGTCTCCATCGTGGGTCATAGACGACTTGACTCATTGACACAAATTGCCGAACAAACTCTAAGATCTGAACATCTTAGCTCGTAATTCCTGTGAATCGCAGATAAGCCTAGCTAATTACACGATGAGTTTTTTCTCTTGTGAAATTGGACAACTGTTGAGCGATGTCTGTAGCTGCTTTGGCAGTGAAGTCAAGTATATTTGTAACCTTAAGAAGAATCTGGCTGCACTGGATAAAGCCATGGAGGTACTCAGAGCAAGGCGAGATGATGTGTTGACAGAGGTGCAGAGGAAAGAAAGCGAAGGTCTAAAAAGGCTTAGTGAAGTTCAAGTATGGCTTACGAGTGTCGAGGATATCCAAAACCAAGTCTATGAATTGCTTCTTCCTCGTACAGCTGAAGTTGAAAGGTTGTGGTCTTTGTACAAAACACTTGCGAAAGAGCCATAGATACGGGAAAAGGGTATTTCAAATGTTGGAAGAAGTTAAAGAACTCAAATCTGGTGGAGTTTTTGAAAGGGTGGCTGGGAGATCCTACGGTAGCTGTGGTGGTGGAGAGGCCTCTACAGTCGAATATTGTTGGTCAAGAAAAAATTTTGAAAAGGCATGGAACCATCTCATGGATGATGGAACCGAGATTATGGGTCTCTACGGTATGGGTGGAGTAGGAAAAACAACTCTTCTCGAACGGATCAACAATAAGTTTAAGGTGCAAATGATGGGTTTGAAAAAGTCATTTATGTTGTGGTTTCCAGCAACTACGGGTCGAGAAGATTCAAGATGAGATCGCTGAGGAAACTAGGCTTTCGTGGAGATTTCTGGAAAAAGAAAAACCGAGAAGGCCTGATATACACACTCGTTTGAAGAATAAGAAATTTGTCTTGTTACTGGATGACATTTGGGAAGAAGTAGATTTAAAAGAAATCGGAGTCCCATTTCCGACAAGGGAAAATGGATGCAAAGTAGTTCACCACTCGTTCTAGGGCAAGTATGTGGCCAAATGGGGGTGGATGATCCCAATGGAAGTAAAATGTTTGGAACCTGACGAAGCTTGGGATTTGTTCCGTGATAAAGTTGGGAGAAACACATTAGAAAGCCACCCAGATATTCTTGAGCGTTCGTCAAGTTGCTAGAAAATGTCGTGGTTTACCATTGGCGCTGATTATCATTGGCAAAAATATGGCGAGCAAGAGGACGGTACAAGAATGGGATGAAGCAATCGACACTCTTGCTTCTTCTGCTGCAAAATTTCCTGGTATGGAAGACCATATTTTTCCAATTTTTGTACAGCTACGATAGCCTCAGGGGGTGACCATGTCAAGTCTTGTTTTCAATACTGCGCTCTATTTCCAGAAGATTTTTAATAAAAAAGGAGAAATTGGTAGATTACTGGATATGCGAAGGATTCATAGACGAAAAGAAAGGTATAGGAAGGCTAAAAACAAGGCTCATGGGATTATCGGTAGCCTTGTCCAGGCTTGTTTATTGACTGAAGAAAACAAAGCTCATCGGAAGGAAGAAAACCTCATATGTGAAAATGCATGATGTGGTTCGTGAGATGGCATTGTGGATAGCAAATGATTTTGGGAAGGATGAAGAGAGATGTATCGTGCAAGCTGGTGTTGGTTTACGTGAAGTACCTAAAGTCGAGAACTGGAGATCTGTGAGAAGGATGTCGTTGATGGAAAACGAGATTGAAAAGTATCTGACACTCCAGAATGCCCTGAGCTTACAACTCTGCTCCTCCAAAAAATAGATGAGAAAAATCTCAGGTGAATTCTTCAAGTCTATGCCCAGTTTAGTCGTATTGGATCTATCGATAATACAATTTGGATTTGCCAGAGGAAATATCAGAGTTGGTCTCCTTGCGATATCTCGACTTGTCACTACAGGGATACAGCGACTGCATGGTGGTTTACTGAAGTTGAAAAAGCTAATATATCTGAATTTGGAGGACGCGAACTTGAGAGTATTTCTGGGATATCAAAGCTGTCGAGTTTGAGGACACTGCGACTAGTACATTCCAGTATCGCAAGATCTCAACGGGATGAAGGAACTGGAGCTCTTAGAACATCTAGAAGTGGTGACCATAGTATCGGGTCAAGTTTTGGTTGCAGATCAATTGTTAAATGCTCCTTCTGCTACCAGACTAGTGAATGCATTCAAGAGCTATATATTTACTCGAGGAAAAAGACTCATATTGACTTTTCCAATATGGCGTTCTCAGTAGCTCGATATGTATGAAAGTGAAATGGTGGAGATAAACATAGAGAGGAGAACATCATCGGAACAAAATCCAACAACTTCAGGCTTCCCAAATCTCTCCAAAGTTTTTTTATCTTGCGATGGTCTAAAGGATTTGACCTGGCTTTTGTACGCTCCAAACCTTACTATCTTCCGTTGATTTCTCAAGTCAAATAGAAGATATAATCAGCAAAGAGAAAGCTGAGAATATCTTCACAGAGGAGGAGGCAGAACCATCATTCCTTTTCAAAGACTAGAGCACTTCAAGTGTTGATCTTGCCGAAGCTGAAGAGCATCTACTGGAGTCCTCTCCCTTTCCCACGTTTGAGGATATTAACATAAAAATGTGTCCAAATCTGAGAAAGCTTCCATTGGATTCTAAAAGTGGCTGCAGCAACCCGGGTGAAGATCTTGTCATACGTAATAGAACAAACTGGATTGATAAGGTTGAATGGGAGGATGAAGCCACTAAAGAGCGTTTCCTACCTTCTCTCCAACCTATTACGATGATCCACAACAGGTTTCCAAAATCTGTCTCAATTACAGTCATATGGTTCTACTTCTGTTCTGTTTGGTGTGTCCTCTTTCAATAGATTGTGTGCCTACTCATACTTGATTTCGCTTAATTATTTCCCATATGTTATCTATTCCATTGTGAATTTATTGTTTGTTATGTGTGAGTTTCATTACTCTTAAAAGGAATGTAATTGCTATTATATTTCCAGTTTTTCTCCTTCGATTGACAAAAAAATGTAAGATGAGAAAGATGTTGAGACACTTGATGCATCTGAATCTTGAGTCTATGTTGTGCCTTGAGAGTGTTTCAGGGATATCGAATTTGTCTAGTTTGAAGATGTTGAGAATACTAAACTTTACAATGTGGCTAACTATGAGCTTACTGGAGGAGCTGAAACGCTTAGAACATTTAGAAGTAGTTGACCATAGAGATCACATCAACTTCGGTGTTGGAACAGCTCTTATGCTCTCAGAGGTTGGTTAGATCTTCAAGTACAGAACTTAAGATTGTTGAAACTTGTTAAGATTGTTGAACTTAAAGACATCTCACCAACCTTACAAAATGAAACTTTCTCATCTTTCCAACCTGATATCAAACAAATATCTTTCCTCTCTCTCTAACTATCATCTTCATGAACCTTCTATTTTTGTCTACTATACTCTCTCGTCTTGTTATGTTTTGGAGTGTTTTTCTTTCTTTCTTTATTGTACTTGTACGTTACATATAATCTTGTGACGTTTTAAGGTATAAAATTCTTATATATTTGTTACAACTAAGTAATGTAATGTAACTTGGGGAAGACAGCACTAAACAGAATCGGATCATGAGATTAAGCCACTAATCTAAAAACTCTGTATTCTCTCTAGCTCCGACCACATGTTTGGTAGTCAAATTCAAAATGAGAATTGTTTAGAGAGAATTCATACGGATCATAGACATCTCATCGACCTCAGCTGTGGAGCAATTGTTTAGCGCTTGTCGGTTGGCAGATTCTATTGAAGCATACAAAAACAGAATATGATAGGAGCTCTATCTCAATCTCTGTCTCTCGAGTTCCAAGGTTTTCTTAGATTATATTTCATCACTCATCACAATTTGAGTTGGTTGAAATAAAGAAGAGAACGAAGCAACACTGACTTTTTTAAAAGTTTGAATGGCACGCAACGAAGGGTTAACCAAAACCAAACAAGAGAGGAAATAATCAGTGAAATTGTTCGACTAAGATGTAACCGAGTTTTTCAAGTACAGAAATGAGAAATCCATAAAACAAACTCCGAAACCTTAACATTAAAACCAAATTCAGTCAACAGTTTTTGAGATTGGTTTAAGAAGATCGTACCGGGACTTTGAGGGGAGGCGGTAAGAGGGACGACGCTAAGACGAACTGTGCTAAGGTTGACAGTGTTAAGAGTGACGGAGGACATGATTCAGCGAGTAGTCAAGTTTAGAGTTTCTTCTCTTTTATAATCCTCGCTGTTTTGATTTGTACACACTCGTGGGCCCTCCAACATTGACCAGCGTATTAGTGTACCGGATCTGTACATTCATCGTAACGATTTTTACATACAAGTCCAACTTTTACATACATGTACTACGTGGTTATAGCCTTACCTATTCCGTGTTTTATTCATAGTTTCTGACAGACTAGGTTAGCTTTTGCAATTCTTCGAGAGAATAATATTTTACTGAATTATTTTTTTAATTACGTAACAACACGTTTAGTGTTACGTATAGATAATTATATCATACCAAGACCCTAGTTTTATGGTCAGAATAATATACTAAGAAATACGAGAGCAGTAGCTTTTGCTTTTTGAAAAATTGCATGCAAGACAAAGCAGCTTCGTAGGTTCACACTTTGATAATTATATAATACAAGACATTAGCTTCTTGATCAGAAGAATTTACTATCATCTCTCTCTCTCACATTGTCTCTTTTATCTTGGTTGATCAACGATGGGAGGTCGCTTCTCTGTTTCAGTGTCATCTGATCAATCGTTGAAAAATGTCTCGCAACTCTTATGCTTCCAAGAGAGTTACATTCACAGTCTTGAGGAGAATCTGGAGGCTATACAAAAAGACATGGAAGAGCTCAAGGCAAGACAAACTGATGTGTGGAGAAGGGTCGAGAGAGAGGAGGATACTAGAGGTCATCAGCGGCTTGCAGAAGTCAAGGTATGGCTTAAAAATGTTGATAGCATCGGTAGGCAGGTCAGTTATCTACTTAGTAATAGAGCCACTGAACCTGATAGGTTGTCTCTTAGTGGGTTATGCTCTAAGAACTTAAGACTGAATTATAGTTATGGAGAAAGAGTGTCGCTGATATTGAAAAAGGTTAATGATCTGAAATCTAAAGGCGACTTTCGAGTTGTGACTGAGCCTGCTACAGCGACTAAAAAGGAGGAGAGGCCTTTCAGTTCCAGAATGACTATTGTTGATCGAGAAACAATTCTCAAGAGAGCTTTGAACCGTCTCGTGGGTGGTGGACCAGGGATTATGGGTCTGTACGGTGTAGGTGGAGTTGGCAAATCAACTATTCTCCGAGAGCTCAACAGAAAGATCAGTGCCAGATTTGAGTTTGTGATATGGGTTTCTGTGTCTAAACATTTTCGTGTGGAGAAGATTCAAGAGGAGATCGGTAAGAAACTAGGCTTTCACGGGGAAGAGTGGAACCGGAAAGAGGAAAGCCAGAAAGCCACTGATATACACAATTCCATGAAGAAAAAGAGATTTGTCTTGCTATTGGATGATGCGTGGACGAAAGTAGATTTGACAAAGATCGGAGTTCCATTTCCTACTAGGGAAAACAAATGCAAGATAGCATTCACAGCTCGCTCTCGGGAGGTGTGTGTGCAGATGGGGGTTGATGACCCGATTGAAGTCCCTTGCCTGGCTGAGAATGACGCCTGGGACTTGTTTGAGATGAAAGTTGGAGAAGATACAATAGGAAGCCGCTCAGGAATTCCAGAGCTAGCAAGCAAAGCTGCTGAAACATGTCATGGACTACCATTGGCGCTGAATGTTCTTGGTGAGATCATGTCCATGAAAACTACAGTGCAAGAATGGAACGATGCGATAGATGTTTTGACTTCATATGCCACAGAGTTTGCAGGAACGGAAGATGAAACGCTTCTTCCGATTCTGAAGTATGGCTATGACAATTTGAGGGTGGGAAGGTTTAAGTCCTGCTTCCAGTATTGCGCTCTGTTTCCTCCAGGTTTTACAGTTAGTAAAGAGGATCTGATTGAATGTTGGGAAGGGGAGGGATTCATGGGTGGATACGACCGAGGTCATGAAATAATTAATAAGCTCGTTCACGCTTGTTTACTGATGGAGGATGATAAAGATAACAAATTTGTGAGAATGCACGATGTGGTTCGTGATATGGCTTTGTGGATAGCATCTGATTTTGGGAAGCAGAAAGAGAGATGTATTGTCCAAGCTGGCGTTGGGTTAGTTGAAGTACCACTGGTTAAAGATTGGAGTAGTGTGAGAAGGATGTCATTGATGGATAATGAGATTGAAGAGATAAGTGATAGTCAAGAGTGTCCTCAACTTACAACTCTGTTTCTCCAAGAGAACCGCAACTTAAAGCGTATCTCTGGTGAATTCTTCAGGTCTATGCCAAGGCTAGCTGTTTTGAATATGTCGTCGAATCAGCTCACGGAACTGCCGAAGGAGATATCAGGTTTGTTGTCGTTGCAGTATCTCAACTTGTCACGGACAGAGATAGAGCGACTACCGGATGGTCTAGGAAGGCTGAAACGTCTAAAACATATCAATCTGGAAATGACGAAGAGACTCAAGAGTGTTAATGGGATATCAGATGTATCAAGTTTAGAAGTATTGAGACTACTAAACTCGAACGTTTCGCTCGATGCTACTAGCATAGTAGAGGAGCTGCAACGCTTGGAACAACTTGAATGCTTAAACATAGACATCTCCTCGAGTTCAGCTGTGGAGCAATTGTTTACCGCTCGTGTGTTGGCAGATTGTATTGAAGAGGTATGTATTAGAGATATTCAGGAAGAAGCATACAAAACACTGGTTTTGCCAGCAATGGAGCGTCTGAGTAAGCTCATGATAATGAGTTGTGATATATGGGAGATAGAGATTGGGAGGACATCATGGGACATAATCCTGACAAGGGCGAGACTGAGAAACCTCTCAAGTGTGGTTATAAATGCCTGCAATGGACTTAAGGATTTGACGTGGTTGTTGTTCGTTCCTAACCTCACTCATCTTAAGCTTGAGTCTTTAGAGAAGGTAGAAGAAGTGATAAGCGAGGAGAAAGCTGCAAGCAGTCCCAGTGATGAGCAGAAAGTGCGAGGTATGAATGCTCCTTTTCAAAAACTTGAAAGGCTTGACTTGATGGACCTACCGATGTTGAAGAGAATCTACTGGAGTCCTCTGGTTTTTCCTTGTTTGAAGAAGATTGTGGTAGGAAAGTGTCCAAAACTGAGGAAGCTTCCACTCAATTCTGAGAGTTGCGTTGCTGGTGGTGAGGAACTTGTTATAAACTACAGAGATGATCAATGGTTTAAAAGGGTTCGATGGGAAGATAAAGCAACTAAAGAACGTTTCTTACCTTGCTGTGAAAAGGTATGTATGTGCTATAAAACTTTTCACTACTGATTAACAAAGTCGTTGTTCATCTTTGTTAATTTTTTCCAGACTAAAAGTTTGTTTCTTCTTTCGTTTTGTGTCAGCTCATGCCTTCGTACTCAGAGAGAATTTAACAGCTTGTGAAGCAAGCCGGTTTCTTGCAGTCACTTTTGTGTTTGATATCATCTTCTCATTCGTTTGTTTTGATTTATATTTGATTTTTTTTTTTTTTTTTTTTTTTTTTTTTTTTTTTTATTGTTGACGTCAATTTGTATTTGATTTACAGGGTGTTAATGGAATTTGCAGTCGCTACTGTTTGTGTTTGCTATCATTTTCTCTTTTCTTGTATCGTTTGTTGAGTTTGACTGTGTGATTGTGATTTGGAGTGTTCATTGTAACTTTTTTATTTATTTAATATGAGTCTTACATTATAAGTTTATCAGTACAATTTACAACAGTTATGTTATGTTTGGTAGCAATTTCGTCAAAAAATTGCGAATTTTATGGTTTTTTGGGCCAATATTATGATGGGCCGTCTCTTCTTTTCGAAATCCAAAGAGAGATTGGCGCCACGTGGCAGACATCGGTGCCGGAGGGATCTGAAACTGCACAGATCCGGCCGAGGATGATGCTTGGGATCAAGGAGATTATCCGGTTCGAGAAAGGTGAAGATAACTCTGTACTTGCTATTAGAATGGTGGATATCTCAATAGCTTCGCGTCTTAGGCTCAATTTCGGATCAATTGATTTTGATCGAATGTGTTTGTGTTCAAACTTCATAGTGTTTAATAACTGGAACTTTGATTCAAAGCTCCTTCTCTGTCTTAATCTTTTCATTCATAGCTCATAACTGCGACTCATTCGAATTAGCTTAAGGTGTTTTGGTCTGTGAATCTCTTTCTCTCTGTTTGTGCAGTGTCAAGTGAATAAAGACTACAAGGTTATATTCTCATCAAAGATGGTTTCGAGATTAGGCGTATGTACGTATGGTCTGAGTAGGCAAAATCACAATTCTTATCACACCGATCAACAGTAACATCTTCTGCAATATTTGCTGGTTGTGAACTGGATTGTTGTATTGGAAAGTCTGTCAGATTTTGCCTACTCCGCCCATACCATACATACGCTTAGTCCTGAATCCATCTCTTATGGGTAAGCTACTGGATTCCAAAGCTGGCAAAGACTCTACTCTGCACTTCGTTTGTTACTTACCTTCATTCAGTTTCAGGTAAACCATACATAATTCGTATGTATCTCTCTCTCTCTTTTAAGTTCTGGATAATTCGTAAACCATACTTCTATTGTTTCACATTTTCTGAATTATTTTTGAATCTATTTAGGAGGTATTTATTAGAGAGCTTCAAGAAGAATCATACTTTGCAAAGTATGGTTGTTCAATGTTTCGTCGATCTATTGAGTTGTGGTCCTTGTGGAATGTGATAGTGATAGATAGAGTGACGCCCATCGTCATTGAACCGAAAACTAATAGGCACATGCTTCTCAAACCTTTTCTCAAAGTCCTTAATAAAGCAATGTGATGGTCTAAAGGTGTGTTTGCCAAACCTTACTCATCTTGAAGCTGGTTTCTAAAAGTCTCTACTAGTATGCTCCGCTTATCTCATTTGCATTTTCCTTTTGTTTCTTCTACGACTGTCTCGTTACGGTTTTGGAATGTTCACTGGATTATATGATATCTGATATTTGTTCCCACAATGTATATCTCTATTGTGAAAAAGTTTGTGTTTGGATTTCGATCATGGAAATGGTGGGCTTCCCAAATTCTGATCCCACGGGTACGTCATGTATCAAAGTCTAACAATGTTTTTTGTGTTGTTGCTCATCCACTTTCTATTATCTAGTACAATGAATAAAAGATAGAACAACTTTTTAATCGCGCCTGCAACTGCAACTGCAACTAGCACCATCTTTCTTAATTTCTTTGAAAAGTCTCCATGATTGCTGATTCTAATGTAGCGACGACTTGGACTAATACAATTACCACTAAATTCCAAGTTGGGGAATACTTTTTAGTATAATCTCTGATATTATTGGAATCTTACTATATTAAATTACTATGTCAGGACTGCAGGGGATTGAACTACGTAGACGACTTGAGACTCATTCACAAAATTACCAGCAAACTCCAAGATCTCAACTTCTGAGTTCTGAATGCCTAATCGCAACTAAGCCTACCTGGTTTTGCCTTCTGAATCTCTCTTCGTGTGTCAACTGCAAGATGGGTGATGTTTTCTCAAAAGCAAGCGAGTTCGTGTTTAAGCAAGTCTGTAGCTGTTTTTGTGTCGAAGTCAACCATATCTGTAGACTCGACAAGAATCTAGAGGCTCTGAAAAAAGCCATGGGAAGACTGCAGGCAAGGCGAATGATGTCTGGAATTTGGTAAGAGGGACGAGGAGAAAGGCTTACAAAGGCTTAATGGAGTTCAGGTATGGCTTAAGGATGTCGAGACAATTGAAAATCAGGCCGATAAATTGAAAGGCATATGGCTTGTACTAGTGAACTTCAATGGTTGTCTCTTTGTGATGTTTGTTCAAAGAAATTAGCATCAAGGTTTCTTTACGGGAAGAGGTTTTCTCGATGTTGGAAGATGTTAAAGAGCTCATAGATCGCAAAATAACTGGAGATTTCAATGCTGTGTCTGCGCCACCTACGAGAGATGTGGTGGAGGAAAGAGATCTACACGGAATCATTGTTGGTCAGGAAACAGTTCTTGAAAAGGCATGGAACCATCTCATGGATGATGGAACCCAGATTATGGGTCTCTACGGTATGGGTGGAGTAGGAAAAACAACTCTTCTTGAACAGATCAACAATAAGTTTAAGGTTGCAAATGATGATGGGTTTGAAAAAGTCATTTGGGTTGTGGTGTCCAGCAATCTAGGATAGAGAAGATTCAAGATGAGATCGCTGAGAAACTAGGCTTTCCTCGAGAAGAATGGAAAAAAAGAGAAAACAGAAGGCCACTGATATACACACTCGTTTGAAGAACAAGAAATTTGTCTTGTTACTTGGATGATATGGAAGAAGTAGATTTAAAAGAAATCGGAGTCCCATTTCCACAAGGGAAAATGGATGCAAAGTAGTTCACCACTCGTTCTAGACAAGTATGTGGCCAAATGGGGGTTGATGACCCAATGGAAGTCAAATGTTTGGAACCTGACGAAGCTTGGGATTTGTTCCGTGAAAGTTGGGAGAAACACATTAGAAAGCCACCAGATATTCTTGAGCGTGCGTCAAGTTGCTAGAAAATGTCGTGGTTTACCATTGGCGCTGATTATCATCGGCAAAAATATGGCGAGCAAGAGGACGGTACAAGAATGGGATGAAGCAATCGACACTCTTGCTTCTTCTGCAGAATTTCCTGGTATGGAAGACCATATTTTTCCAATTTTGTTGTACAGCTACGATAGCCTCGGGGGTGACCATGTCAAGTCTTGTTTTCAATATTGCGCTCTATTTCCAGAAGATTGTTAATAGAAAAGGAGAAGTTGGTAGATTATTGGATATGCGAAGGATTCATAGACGAAAAGAAAGGTCTAAGGAAGGCTAAAAACAAGGCTCATGGGATTATTGGTACCCTTGTCCAGGCTTGTTTATTGATGAAGAAGGAAAGACAAATCAAGAGTGAAAATGCATGATGTGGTTCGTGAGATGGCATTGTGGATAGCAAATGATTTTGGGAAGGATGAAGAGAGATGTATCGTGCAAGCTGTATTGGTTTACGTGAAGTACCAACAGTTGAGAACTGGACATCTGTGAGAAGGATGTCGTTGATGGATAACGAGATTAAGAAGATATCTGACACTCCAAAATGCCCTGAGCTTACAACTCTGCTCTTCCAAAAGAATAGGATGAGAAATATCTCAGGTGAATTCTTCAAGTATATGCCCAGTTAGTCGTACTGGATCTATCAGATAATAGATTCTATTTGCCAGAGGAAATATCAGAGTTGGTCTCCTTGCGATATCTCGACTTGTCATACACATATAAGCGACTGCGGTGGTTACTGAAGTTGAAAAAGCTAATATATCTGAATTTGGAGTCACGCAACTTGAGAGTATTTCTGGGATATCAAATCTGTCGAGTTTGAGGACATTGCGGCTAGCACATTCCAAATGTCGGAGATCTCGACGGAATGAAGGAACTGCAGCTCTTAGAACATTTAGAAGTGGTGACCTAGATATCGGGTCATTTGGTTGCAGATCAATTGTTAAATGCTACTGCTACCAGAGTAGAATGCATTCAAGAGATACAATTAATTTCATCCGGGAAAAAGACGTATTGACTATTCCGAATATGGCGGTTCTCAGTACGCTCGATATGTATAGTGAAATGGTGGAGATAAACATAGAGAGGAGAACATCATCGCTGAACAAAATGCCAACAACTTCAGGCTTCCCAAATCTCTCCCAGTGATTTTAAGTTATTGCAATGGTCTAAAGGATTTGACCTGGCTTTTGTACGCTCCAAACCTTGCTTATCTTAACCGTTGATAGCTCAAGTCAAATAGAAGATATAATCAGCAAAGAGAAAGCTGAGAATATCTTCACAGAGGCAGGAACCATCATTCCTTTTCAAAGACTAGAGCACTTCGATGTGGATATTTGCCGGAGCTGAAGAGCATCTACTGGAGTCCTCTCCCTTTCCCATGTTTGAGGATTTCACATAAAAAGTGTCCAAATCTGAGAAAGCTTCCATTGATTCTAAAAGTGGCTGCAGCAACCCGGGTGAAGATCTTGTCATACATAATAGAGAACAAACTGGATTGATAAGGTTGAATGGGAGGATGAAGCCACTAAAGACGTTTCCTACGTTCCCTCCAACAATACTGATGATCCACAACAGGTTTCCAAAATCTGTCTCTGTTACAGTCATATTGTTCTGTTTGGTGTGTCCTCTTTCAATAAATTAGTGTGCCTACTCAGATTTGATTTCACTTGATTATTTGCCATATGTTAATCATGTCTTTTCTATTGTGAAATTATTGTTTGTTATGTGTGAATTTCATTACTCTAAAGGAATGTAATTACTATTATATTTCCAGTTTTCTCCTTTTGATGAAATTGCATCGGCCTTTCTCTCTAGTTTTTTTCTTTGCCTACCTCTCTGTGAATTCTACGAATAAACAAGATGGTGTTTATTAATTAGGCGTCGTCGGCTATTTTCTGATAGCTTAGTAGCAATGAAAATGACATAATGGCAGACTACGACTCTCAAATGAAAATGATACATAAAATAAAATAAAACTATGATACTACGATGCATAATGATGATACAAAAAGAAGACTTTAAATCGTTAATTAAAACAAAATTTTCCAGCAAAATTTCAATGAGGGGGTGTCATGTCTTTTTTTCTCCCTAATCTTTTCGCTTCTCATCCTACTAATTTGCAAATCAAAATCGAGATATCAATTTCCTCTCTCCAACTCCAAGTATCAAGCGATCAAGTGTTGAACAGTCGTTGTAGCTGCTTTTGCTGCCAACTCAAATACATTCAAAACCTCAAGAAGTATATATCTTTCCGCAATTCTACGTCCCTTTATGTTTCCGTTGTTGTTCAAGGATTTGACGTGGTTGTTGTTCGCTCCTAACCTTACTCATCTCGAGCTAGAGTCTTTAGAGAAGATAGAAGAAGTGATAAGCGAGGAGAAAGCTGCAAGCAGTCCCAGTGATGAGCAGAAAGTGCGAGGTATGAATGCTCCTTTTCAAAAACTTGAAAGGCTTGACTTACCGATGTTGAAGAGAATCTACTGGAGTCCTCTGCTTTTTCCATGTTTAAAGAAGATTGTGGTAGAGAAGTGTCCAAAACTGAGAAAGCTTCCACTCAATTCTGAGAGTTGCGTTGCTGGTGGTGAAGAACTTGTTATAAACTACAGAGATGAATGATGATCAATGGTGTAAAAGGGTTCAAAGGGAAGATAAAGCAACTAAAGAACGTTTCTTACCTTGCTGTGAAAATGTATCTGTCTATGGAACTTTTCATTACTCATTAACAAAGTTGTTCATCTTTGTCTACACTAAGTCTGTTTCTTGTTTCGTTTTGTGTCAGCTCATACCCTCGTACTCAGAGAGAATTTAATAGCTTGGGAAGCAAGCCGGTTTCTTATAGTCGCTTTTGTGTTTGATATCTTTTTCTCATTTGTTTGTTTTGAATTTTTTTTTTTTTGACGTCAATTTGTATTTGAATTATCGTGTGTTAATGGTATTTGCAGTCGCTACTGTTTGTGTTTGCTATCATTTTCTCTTTTCTTGTATCGTTTGTTGAGTTTGACTGTGTGATTGTGATTTGGAGTGTTCATTGTAACTTTTTATTTGTGATTGTGACAGAGGCACTTCTTTCTTCAAACACAACCATAATCAAAATCAAAACGGAACCGCTCCTCGTATCTATTACAGGTAAATGGTTTTGATCTTAAACCTTGAATGAAAACAGAACTTCTTCTAAAACCAAAAAAAAGAAAAGAAAACAGAACTTCTTCTAGTTGAAAACTGGTATAGTTTCGCAGATTAAAAACTTTCTTTCTAAGAGTCGCATGGTTATATGTCTACCTACTCCACTATTTTGTAAAGCAAACTAACCACTAAATACGAAGGGTCCATTGTTTTTCTTATACAGTAATAATTTGGTTGAAAGGAATTATATGCTATCTCTTTTGTTTCTCACATACTTTGAATTATTGTTGAATCTATTTAAGAGGTATTTATCAGAGTGATTCAAGAAGAATATTGACTTTGCAAACTATGGTTGATCAGTGTATCATCGATGTGTTGAGTTGTGGAATGTGATAGTGATTGATAGAGTTACGCCCATCGTCATTGAAACTTAAACCAATAGACACATGCTTCTCAAACCTTGCCAAAGTCCTTAATAAATCAGTGTGGTGGTCTAAAGGATTTGATGTGGCTGTTGTTTGCAGCAAACCTTACTTATCTTGAAGCTGGTTTCTCAAACCAACAAGAAGATATAAAGGACGAAGAGAAAGCCAGCCACGAGTGGATACAATACAGGTATGTCGTTCCTTCACGGAGAGTGAGATATTCTTACTAGTCTTATTTACCTGACCTGAAGAGGCTATACTCTATACTCGTAGGCTCCGCTAATCTCATTTGCATTTTTCTTTTGCTTCTTCTACGACTATCTTGTTATGGTTTTGGAATGTTCATTGGATTGTATGATAGTTCATGTTTGTTTCCACATTATATTTGTATCTTTATGTGAACAACCACGTTTTTGGAAACAGGTTTGCTCCGGTTTGGGGTTGTCGACTCAGATTGGAAATTTAGTGAAACTAATCCTTCCTTTGGTGGTTGGGTTTCGATCATGGAAATGGTGGGCTTCCCAAATTCTGATCCCACGGGTACGTCATGTATCAAAGTCAATAGATGGTTATTGTTGCTCATCCTATTTGTTTAAGAATCCAATTTCTATTGTTTAACAAAATGAATAGCGGTGGAACACCTTTTTAATTGCGCTTGGAACTAGCATCATCTTTGTTATTTTCTTGGAAAATCATAGGAGAAGTCTCAGTTATTGCTGATTCTAATCTAGCAATGACTTGGACTAATTTAATTACCACTAAATTCCAAGTTGGGGTATAATTTTTAGTATAAACTTTGATATTATATGAATCTTTACAATATTAACATGCGATGTCTCAAGTTAATATCGTAACTGTTTTAATATTAACGTACAAACATGATCGTGGGTGGATGTACATAGATAGACGACTTAGACTCATTCACAAACGTGCCAACAAACTCTAAGATCTGAACATCTTAGTTTGTAATTCCTGCGAATGGCAGAGAAGCCTAGCTAATCACACGATGAGTTTTTTCTCTTGTGAAATTGGACAACTGTTGAACCATGTCTGTAGCTGCTTTGGCAGTGAAGTCAACTATATCTGCAACCTCGGGAAGAATCTGGATGCACTGGATAAAGCCATGAAGGTACTCAGAGCAAGGCGAGCTGATGTGTTGACAGATGTGCAGAGGAAAGAAAGCGAAGGTCTACAAAGGCTTAATGAAGTTCAGGAATGGCTTACGAGTGTCGAGGATATCCAAAACAAAGTCTATGAATTGCTTCTTCCTAGTACCGATGAACTTGATAGGCTGTGTCTTTGTGGTCTTTGTACAAAGCACTTGGCAAAGAGCCATATCTACGGGAAAAGTGTATTCGAGATGTTGGAAGAAGTTGAAGATCTCAAATCTGGTGGAGTTTTTGAAAGGGTGGCTAGGCGACCTACGGTAGCTGTGGTGGTGGAGAGGCCTCTACAGTCGAATATTGTTGGTCAAGAAGATATTTTCGAGAAGGCATGGAACCATCTCATGGATAAAGGAACCGAGAAGATGGGTCTCTACGGTATGGGAGGAGTAGGAAAAACAACTCTTCTTGAACGGATCAACAATAAGTTTAAGTTTGCAAATGATGGGTTTGAAATTGTCATTTGGGTTGTGGTGTCCAGCAATCTACTGATCGAGAAGATTCAAGATGAGATTGCTGAGAAACTCGGCTTTCCTCGAGAAGAATGGAAGAAAAAAGAGAAAACCGAGAAGGTCACTGATATACACACTCGTTTGAAGAATAAGAAATTTGTCTTGTTACTAGATGACATTTGGGAAGAAGTAGATTTAAAAGAAATAGGAGTCCCATCTCCGACAAGGGAAAATGGATGCAAAGTAGTGTTCACCACTCGTTCTACGGATGTATGTGGCCAAATGGGGGTGGATGACCCAATGGAAGTAAAATGTTTGGAATCTGACGAAGCTTGGGATTTGTTCCGTGAGATAGTTGGGAGAATCACATTAGAAAGCCACCCAGAAATTCTTGAGCTCGCATGTGAAGTTGCTAGAAAATGTCGTGGTTTACCATTGGCGCTGAATATTATCGGCAAAAATATGGCGTGCAAGAGGACGGTACAAGAATGGGATGAAGCAATCGACACTCTTGCTTCTTCTGCTGCAGATTTTCGTGGTATGAAAGACCATATTTTCCCAATTTTGAAGTATAGCTACGATGGCCTCAGAGAAGACCTACCTGTCAAGTCTTGTTTTCAATACTGCGCTTTATTTCCTGAAGATTTTTCGATAAAAAAGGAGAAATTGGTAGATTACTGGATAGGCGAAAGATTCATAGATGAAAAACAAGGTCTAAAGAGGGCTAAAAACAAGGCTCATGGGATTATCGGTACCCTTGTCCAGGCTTGTTTATTGACTGAAGAAAACAAAGCTCATCGGTTTTTGGAAAAAACCTCATGTGTGAAAATGCATGATGTGGTTCGTGAGATGGCATTGTGGATAGCAAATGATTTTGGGAAGAATAAAGAGAGATGTATCGTGCAAATTGGTGTTGGTTTACGTGAAGTTCCTAAAGTTAAGAACTGGAGATTGGTGAGAAGGATGTCGTTGATTAATAACGAGATTGAAAATGTATCTGACACTCCAGAGTGCCCTGAGCTTACAACTCTGCTCTTCCAAAAAAATTTGATGATGAAAAATATCTCAGGTGAATTCTTCAAGTCTATGCCCAGTTTAGTCGTATTGGATCTATCGTATAATGGACTTTTGAATGGATTGCCAGAGGAAATATCAGAGTTGGTCTCCTTGCGATATCTCCACTTGTCACTTACAGGGATACGGCGACTGCCTGGTGGTTTACTGAAGTTGAAAAAGCTAATATATCTGAATTTGGAGCGGACGATTGAGAGTATTTCTGGGATATCAAAGCTGTCGAGTTTGAGGACACTGCGACTAGTAGATTCCAGAGTATTGCAAGATCTCAACGGGATGAAGGAACTGGAGCTCTTAGAACATCTAGAAGTGGTGACCGTATCAATCTGGTCAATTTTGGATGCAGATCAATTGTTCAAATGCTCCTTCTGCTACCAGACTAGTAGTGAATGCTATTCAGGTGCTATATATTGAATACATCGAGGAAAAAGACTCAGTATTGACTTTTCCAAATATGGCGGTTCTCAGTACGCTAATTATTTGTAGAAGTGAAATGGTGGAGATAAACATAGAGAGGAGAACATCATCGTGGAACAAAATACCAACAACTTCAGGCTTCCCAAATCTCTCCACAGTGATTTTAAGTCGTTGCGGTGGTCTAAAGGATTTGACCTGGCTTTTGTACGCTCCAAACCTTACTGATCTTCTCGTTGAGGCCTCAATTCAAATAGAAGATATAATCAGCAAAGAGAAAGCTGAGAATATCTTCACAGAAGAGGAGGGAGGAACCATCATTCCTTTTCAGAGACTAGAGTACTTCAGATTGAATCATTTGCCGAAACTGAAGAGCATCTACTGGAGTCCTCTCCCTTTCCCACGTTTGAGTAAATTCCGCATAAAAAGGTGTCCAAATCTGAGAAAGCTTCCATTGGATTCTAAAAGTGGCTGCAGCAACCCGGGAGAAGATCTTGTCATACATAATGTCGAGCAATACTGGATTGATAAGGTTGAATGGGAGGATGAAGCCACTAAAGAGCGTTTCCTACCTTCTCTCCAACAATACTTGATTGATGAGGTTGAACGGGAGGAAGCGAAGCCTTTCATACCTTCTCTCAGCCTTTTCATATGAGCCGCAACAGGTTTCCAAAATCTGTCTCAATTACAGTCATATGGTTTTCTGTTGTTCTGTTTGGTGTGACCTCTTTCAATGAATTTGTGTGCCTACTCAAACTTGATTTCGCTTAATTATTTCCCATATGTTAATCGTGTCTGTTCCATTGTGACTTTATTGTTTGTTATCTGTGAAGTTCATTACTCTTAAAAGGAATGTAATTGCTATTATATTTCCAGTTTTCTCCTTCGATTGACAAAAGATGTAAGATGAGAAAGATGTTGAGACACTTGATGCATCTGAATCTTGAGTCTATGTTGTGCCTTTTGAGAGTATTTCAGGGATATCGATCGAATTTTTCTAGTTTTAAGATGTTGAGAATACTAAACTTCACAATGTGGCTAACTATGAGCTTACTGGAGGAGCTGAAACGCTTAAGTCATTTAGAAGAGGTACGTGTTAGAGAATACTAAATTTCAACATGTTAAGTATGTTCAATTTCGACTGGAACGCTTAAACATAGACATCTCAACGAGCTCAGCTGTGGAGCAATTGTTTAGCGCTCGTCGGTTGACAGATTCTATTGAAGCATACAAAAAAACATTAGCATATTGTTGTATGATATGACCTCTCTCAATCTCAATCTCTGTCTCTCGAGTTCCAAGGTAATCTTACCTTATATTTCATTCATTCATCATAATTTGAGTGGTTGAGATGAAGAAGAGAAAGAAGCAACAATGACTTTTTTTTAAGTTTTAAGGGCAACGCAACGTCCATAATTAATTACCCGCCAGAAAAATAAAACAGTTATAAAAGGAAACGAAACAAGAGAATTTAAAATATATTTCGAAATCGATGGACTGATTCGAGGCGATGGGCGCATTGCGAACCTCGAGTTCAAGCGAGCGATGGCTCTGCAGAGACACATCGCGAGAGAAGCAGGAGCGTCGTCTATCTCTTAGAGAAAAAGTATGATATCTTTCCGCAATTCTACGTCCGTCTTTTTTTTTTTTTTTTTTTTTTTTTCTACGTCCGTTTTATGTTCACGTTGATTTGCTTTTCTGGGTCTGGGTTTTGATTCGTCAATCTTATAGTTACAATTGATACTTCTGCGAATCTGAGTGTATAATTTCTTGATAGGGAAGCTCAGGAGATCGGGCTCTAGGTGGCTTGAGCTGGGGCAAGTTAGTAGAACCGATTGCATACCACTTGTATGATGAATTGTCTCTATGAGTATCAAAGAACAGAGGCACGTCTTTCTTCACACACAACCATAATCAAAATCAAAACAGAACCGCTCGTCTTAATCTATTACAGGTAAATGGTTTTGATCTTGAATCTTGAATGACAACAAAACTCAAGTCTTCTAGTTGCAAAGTGAAGTTTCGTAGATAAAAGCTTTATTTCTAAGAGTCGCATGGTTATATGTCTACCTGCTCCACTCTTTTGTAAAGCAAAGAAACCACTTCATAGGTTGTGTTTTTATGGTGCTGGCTCCAAAAACTTAAGATTGAGTTATCTCTACGGAAAAAAAGACTTAAAACTTAAGATTGAGTTATCAAATCAAGTATGGTGCTGGCTTCTTTATGTTGAAGACTTAAAAACCTAGATGAGTTTTCGATTATATATTATGCTAATTGATCGTGCTGCATTCATGATCTGCTCCAAAATTTTGTGATATGCTCGATCATGATATGTTTGATCACTTGTTTTTTGGGGAGACTTTACGTCTGTGTTCGATCATTTGTATTTTGCTCAAAACTTAAACCGTGAAATTTCCATGTATGGCTTTACTGAGTATCCTTCACCATTAAGAACCACCTGAATTATCTACATAGTGCTCGAGCTTCAAAGACTGTGTCTTTGTGGTTTCTGCTGCGAGCGATTTCAAGGAGGAGACATGCATTTACTCTTCCTAACCAGAAATTAGAATCACTTTCGTTTAAGGGTTTGCTTGAGCTGAAGAGCATCTACTGAAATGCTCTGCCTTTTCAACGTCTCCACATACAGGAAAATTGTACAAAGCTGAGAAAGCTTTCCATTGGATTCTAAAAAGTGTCTTCAACGTTGAATAATTTGTCACATGCTACTATGATGCAAGATGGGTCAGAAAGAGTTGAATGGGAGGACGAAAAAGCCACACAACAACGTTTCTTACCTTCACGTGGGTTCGTTGGGTAAGAGCCTTATGACCCAAGCAAGATATTGTTCTTTCTTAAACCCTTTCTTCTGAAATTGCACCCAACTTCTATTTTTCTTTTACCTCTGTTTCATGAGTCGGTTACTTTTATAAGGAAAATTTTGAATTTAGTTATATAACTGAATTATATTAAGATATTAGCATTCTATCTTCTGAGAAACTCTTATGAAATTCTAACCATTGGAGATGCTCTCATTTGGCCCACCACACTACCCAAATGATATGACTTCCCTTGTTGAATATTCCTCAGCTTTCTCTCAGCCACTTGTCTTACCCTTCCTGTATTTGTAGATTACCGGAGGATGTAGAACCTCAAACCTATCATTCACAAAATTACCAACAGACTCCAAGAACTCAACATCTGAGTTCTTGCCTTCTGAATCTCTCTTTGTGTGTCAACTGCAAGATGGATGTTATCTCAAAATCAACCGAGTTCGTGGTTAACCTATTTTGTAGCTGTCTTTCTGCGAAGTCCACCATATTTGTAGACTCGACAAGAATCTAGAGGCTCTGGAAAAAGCCATGGGAAGACTGCAGGCAAGGCAAGATGATGTAAGGATTCGGTGAAGAGGGACGAGGAGGAAGGCTTACAAAGGCTTAATGGAGTTCAGGTATGGCTTACGGATGTCGAGACAATTGTACATCAGGTGGATAAAATTGAAAGGGATATGGCTTGTACTAGTGAACTTCAATGGTTGTCTCTTTGTTGTTTGTTCAAAGAAATTAGCATCAAGGTTTCTTACGGGAAAAGGGTTTTCTCGATGTTGGAAGATGTTAAAGAGCTCATAGATCGCAAAATAACTGGAGATTCAATGCTTTGGCTGCGCCACCTGAGAGATGTGGTGGAGGAAAGGGATCTACTAACCATTGTTGGTCAGGAAACAGTTCTTGAAAAGGCATGGAACCATCTCATGGATAAAGAAACCAGATGATGGGTCTCTACGGTATGGGTGGAGTGGGAAAAACAACTCTTCTTGAACAGATCAACAATAAGTTTAAGGTTGCAAATGATGATGGGTTTGAAAAAGTCATTTGGGTTGTGGTGTCCAGAAATCTAGGGATTGAGAAGATTCAAGATCAGATTGCTGAGAAACTAGGCTTTCCTCGAAAAGAATGGAAAAAAAGGAGAAAAGCGAGAAGGTCACTGATATACACACTCGTTTGAAGAAGAAGAAATTTGTCTTGTTACTGGATGATATTTGGGAAGAAGTGGATTTAAAAGAAATCGGAGTCCCATTTCCGACAAGGGAAAATGGATGCAAAGTAGTATTCACCACTCGTTCTACAGAGTATGTGGCCAAATGGGGGTGATGACCAATGGAAGTCAAATGTTTGGAATCTAACGAAGCTTGGGGTTTGTTCCGTGATAAAGTTGGGAGAAACACATTAGAAAGCCAACCAGATATTCTTGAGCGTGCGCGTCAAGTTGCTAGAAAATGTCGTGGTTTACCATTGGCGCTGATTATCATCGGCAAAAATATGGCGAGCAAGAGGACGGTACAAGAATGGGATGAAGCAATTCGACACTCTTGCTTCTTCTGCCGCACAATTTCCTGGTATGGAAGACCATATTTTTCCAATTTTGATGTACAGCTACGATAGCCTCGGGGGTGATATGTCAAGTCTTGTTTCCAAGTCTTTCCAGAAGATTTTTGGATAGAAAAGGACAAGTTGGCGGATTACTTTATAGCGAAGGATTGTAGACGAAAAGAAAGGTCTAAGGAAGGCTAAAAACAAGGCTCATGGGATTATTGGTACCCTTGTCCAGGCTTGTTTATTGATCGAAGAAGGAAGAGACAAATCACAGTGAAAATGCATGATGTGGTTCGTGAGATGGCATTGTGGATAGCAAATGATTTTGGGAAGGATGAAGAGAGATGTATCGTGCAAGCTGGTATTGGTTTACCCGAAGTACCAAAGTGAGAATGGGATCGTGAGAAGGATGTCGCTGATGGAAAATGAGATTGAAAACATATCTGACAGTCCAGAGTGCCCTGAGCTTACAACTCTGCTCTTCCAAAATAACGGTATGGGGAATATCTCAGGTGAATTCTTCAAGTCTATGCCCAGTTTAGTCGTATTGGATCTATCGGGTAATAGAGGTTTCAAAGGATTGCCAGAGGAAATATCAGAGTTGGTCTCCTTGCGATATCTCGACTTGTCAAATACTTTCTTAGAGCGACTGCCCGGTGGTTTACTGAAGTTGTTAAAGCTAATATATCTGAATTTGGAGTTCATGTTCAACTTGAGAGTATTTCTGGGAAATCAAATCTGTCGAGTTTGAGGACATTGCGGCTTGCACATTCCATAGTGTCGCAAGATCTCGAGGTAATGAAGGAACTGCAGCTCTTAGAACATCTAGAAGTGGTGACCGTACAATTCGGGTCAATTTGGTTGCAGATCAGTTGTTCAATACCAGACTAGTGGAATGCGATTCAAGAGATACATATTTCTTTCCTCGAGGAAAAAGACGTATTGACTATTCCGAATATGGCGGTTCTCATTAGGCTCTGGATGTTTGGAAGTGAAATGGTGGAGATAAAATAGAGAGGAGAACACCATCGCGGAACAAAAGTCCAACAACTTCAGGCTTCCCAAATCTCTCCATAGTGAATTTAAGTGATTGCGATGGTCTAAAGGATGTGACCTGGCTTTTGTACGCTCCGAACCTTACTGTTCTTAAAGTTATTAGCTCAAGTCAAATAGAAGATATAATCAGCAAAGAGAAAGCTGAGAATATCTTCACAGAGGAAGAGGTAGGAACCATCATTCCTTTTCAAAGACTAGAGCACTTAAAAGTGGAAAATTTGCCGAAGCTGAAGAGCATCTACTGGAGTCCTCTCCCTTTCCCACGTTTGAGTAAATTTAGCATAAGATCGTGTCCAAATCTGAGAAAGCTTCCATTGGATTCTAAAAATGGCGGCAGCAACCCGGGTGAAGATCTTGTCATATATGGAGAACAAAGCTGGGTTAATAAGGTTGAATGGGAGGATGAAGCCACTAAAGAGCGCTTCCTACCTTCTCTCCAAGCTACCGAATGGTCGGAGAGCATTTCGGAGAGGACATCATAAGACTTTCTTTGCGAATTAGACATCACATTCACAATTGACATCGGAATTGTTGTTGATGAACGGCAAAAAACTGCAGAGGGAGATAATTTGTTCGCCGTCGTTTTGCGGGATCACAAAGTCAGTAAAAATAAAATAATAGTCATATTGTTCGACTGTTCTGTTTGGTGTGCCTACTCAAACTTGATTTCAGTTAATTGTTTGCCATATGTTAATCGTGTCTATTCCATTGTGAATTTATTGTGTTATGTGTGAATTTCATTACTCTTAAAGGAATGTAGTTGCTATTATATTTCCAGTTTTTCTCCTTCAATTGACAAAAGATTTAAGATGAGAAAGATGTTGAGACACTTGATGCATTCGAATCTTGAGTCTATGCTGTTGTTTGCTCCTAACCTCACTCATCTCAATGTTTGGAGCTCAAGCCAAGTAGAAGAGATAATAAGCCAAGAGAAAGCTTCAACTTCAAGGGTTGATAATGATATTGTTCCTTTTAGGAAACTGGAATATCTTATCTACACTTGTGGGATTTACCTGAGTTCAAGAGCATATATTGGAGTGCTTTGCCTTTTCCATGTCTGAATCAGATCAACGTACAAAACAATTGTCAAAAGCTGAGAAAGCTTCTGTTGGATTCTAAAAGTTGCAGTGCGGGTGAAGAACTTGTCAGAGAGTATGGAGATGAAGAATGAAAAGAAAAGGTTGAATGGGAGGACAAAGCCACAAGACCCTTACCATCTTGCAAGTTGGTTTTGTACAATCAATGAGCCAAAGCAGGTTTCAGAATAGCTTCAAACAAATTATGCGTCTCAACAGTCGTAACATATCGTTATGCTGCCTTATCCTTCCTCTCTCTCTAACTCTCAGCTTCATGCACCTTCTATTTTTCTCTACTATACTTTCGTCTTGTTATGTTTCATTGTGTTCTTTGGATTGTATTTGTATTATACGTATAATCTTGGGGATGTGAAGTTGTTGACGGATCTTGAAATTAAGCCACTAATCAACAAACTCTGTATTCTCTTTAGCTCGGACCACATGTTTGGTATGTTTATTACTCTCTACTGAATTTTCTACGATAGAAGAAATGTTCAATTGTGGAGATGAAACAAGTATCTAAAAATGAATTTGAAATATTTAAAATAGATTGTTGAACAATGGAAAGCCAGTTCCGGTTTTTTATAATTGTTGCAATGAGTAAAAACTAAAAATGAATCAGCAAAAAAAAAAGCGACATTTGATGTCTGACACTTCTGAGTTTATTTCATCTGAACGATCCCGGCGCTAATAAGCTTTTGAATCTTGTTCATAATCATTGGGTTTTGCATGTGTTTCTGCGCTGCGCTCGGATTCTCCTGAAGATCGCTAAGTACCTGTTTGGAGAAAAAGGGTTTTTAGATACTATTAAACATACAAATCCGATTTCTCAAACATAATCAGATCTATATAAACCTCACAACAGCCTGCAGCTTTAACCGCATCATTTAAAGTATAATTTACACACAAGTTGAAAGATAAAGTCTGATTCTTTACCTGTCTCATCACAGGATCTGTGAGAATGTTTTGGATTTCTGGATCTTGCATTCCCTTTGCCTACACAAAAAGAAAATAGAAAATCCAAAATTCACAACCATGTTCTCTTTTAATTTATAAAGTGGGAATATATAGATGAGAATCGTCGGAAACTAACCTGTCTCTCTTTCAATTCCTCAGGAGTAAGGTCCCCACGATTAGCCTTGTTGATTTGTTGTACACATCTGCAGAATAGATTTGAACCTTGTTAGGCCAATTCATGGCAATAGATAAAAGTTCTTCGTGAATGTGTCTATATATATACCTTCTAACACCGTCAAGAAGTTCCTGATTGTTCGGATCATGCTTGAGACCCTCTTGATACGTTTCCATCGCATTGTCATACTCCTTCATGAAGAATTGCACTGCAGCTTTCCTGCTGTATCCTTTGGAGAAGGTTGGATCCAGCTCAATACACTTCTCTGCATCCTTTAGTCCTTCAGGCATCGCACCAAGCTTAGTGTAGCACGCAGCTCTATTGCTATACGCCTAACATAGAGTGCAAATAAAGCAGATAAGTTATTCAAGCAGTCAAAACAAGAAACCATTGTAGAACATGACAAAGTGGACTTACTTTCGGATCTTTCTGATTCCTTTTGATTGCTTCAGTGTAATGTTTTATAGCATCAGGATACTTCTGCTCCTTGAAGAACTCATTACCTGTGTATTGAAAAAACACTGTATAAGCAAAACGCTTTCTTTTCTCACACACAAAAACAAGATTAATCTGAAAAAACAAACACCTTTTTCACGCTCTTCATCTCCTAACTTAGGGTCGAAATACTCCTTCTGCTCCCACTCTCTCTTCGCTCTCTCCGCCTCGTTCAGCTTCTTCAACGTCTCAGGGTTGCGGTGCTCTGTAAGAGCTTTCTGGAAAGCTTCAATCGCAGGTTCGTAGTCTTTAGAGCATCTCGCCATCTTAGTCAAAGCAGTCCCTTTCCTAGTCAAAGCTTTAGCTACCATCTTGTAATCTGATCTAAGCTCTCTACCTCTCTCCACTGCCTTCTCACAATCCTCAATACACTCATTGTACTGAATCAAAACAAACACATTGACATTCAAAATTAATCACACTGTAGCTGTTGAAATTTACTCTACACAAGATAAAAAAAAACTATACCTTTCCTGTTTCCAGATAAACAGCGGCACGATTCGTGATGTATGAGATGTCTTCGTCATCAATCTCCATTGCTGTAGAGTAATGCTGGATTGCAGTATCAAAGTCCCTCTTCTTGTACGCAGCAGTGCCCATCTCCTTCTCCTTTATAGCTTTCTCCTTCCTCTCTTTCTTCTCTTTCTCCTCAGTAAACTCCGGCTCTGGTTCCGGCTCCGGTTCTCGTTTCCTCTCAACAACCTCAGGAGCCTGACCCATATCGGACTCAGGAATCTCAGCCTCGTCTCCTGGAGGAGGTCTGAAGTTGATATTCAATAAAACTCCAAGCGATTGCATCACTCTCTGGTCTTTCAAGTACAAATTGAGATTGCTAGGGTTCCTCTGGATCTCCTTCATCATGCTGACGTAATCAGGCTGTTGCAGAAAGCCTCTCGTCGAAGGATCGGCGGTGAGCTTCGTCCACATCTCCGGCCCCTTGAAAGCCTCACCGAAAGGATTCGGCGACGAAGAAGGAGAAGCTCGTGACCTAGAAGCAGACGACTGAGCATCGGCTAATCCCGATTTCAACGCGTCGTTGCTCGGATCGATCTCTAGCCCCTTGTTGTAAGCCGCGACGGCTTCCTGGAACTGGTTTAAACCCAGGTGAGCAGCTCCGAGACGGCTGTAACCCTTGGGCCAATCGGGTTTGAGCTCGACGGTCTTCTCCGCGTCGGAGAGAGCATCGGCGTAGTGGTGGAGCGAGGCGTGAGCAGCGGAACGGTTGGAGAAGAGGACGTGGTTGGTTGGAGCGAGGTCGATTGCTTCGGTGAAGTGGAGAATCGCGGAGGTGAAGTCGCCGGAAGAGAAAGCGGCGTTTCCTTTGGCTTTAGCTTCGTCAGCCATGGTTGAATCTGAGATTATGGAGTCGCTGGAGCTTCTTTCTCGTGTCTTGGGGAGGAGACTGGGACAATAAATATACCTTTTTAGGCTTTTACAAAGACTTTTGTTTGGGGTTTTGCGAAATTGGGTCTGTTTGGATACGAGAGTAGTAATGTCTGTTAATGAGTGCTTATCCGGGTTATAATTATCCTCATCGCGTTCAATAAAATAGTAAGACTCTTAAGAAACGGGCCCGTTTGAATTCAAAGGTCTATAATTTTGGGTATATTGATATATGAAGTTAGCAATACAACAGTAGTATAGTCCATGTGTTGAATTGTTGGAATACAATTTTGTGTGATCGTGGAATCATTGCTAAACATAGCAGATGGTGATATTGCATTTAATCCCAAAGAAATATATAGATTCTAGATAAGGATGCAATGCAGTGTTTGAGATCACTTCTGTTACCGATTGACATATATAACCTTAGAGTTCTAAACTTGCGGGAAATGTTCTGGCGAAAGTCAGACGTGTCTTGCTTCAAACTGCCATAAGTTGTTCTGGATTCAGTAAGGAAAGTAAATTTCGATGTGTCTTGAGGTTTTTCTTGGTGTTTGTTCACTGTGGTTTCAGTTAAAAGAAAAGTGGTATTGATGGAGAGGCATGTTTTGAAATATCTGCTGGTCTTCTTCTCTAATATTGAAGCCTCTCTAGTTACAAAGACTTTTACATTGATTCCCAGATTTCAGTTTTGTTATGTGTCCTTGTAATAGTTCAATTTATGAAGGATGAAGAAGCAAATATTATTATTTTTTTAAAGCAAGTTTCTCATATTGTTTTATACCTAGACTAGATAGATATTCGTATTCGTTGTAATCTGGAAGATAGTAGATGAAAAACTGACAAATTATCATCAGTATTACGGTGAACTAATTTTGCGGGTATAGTGACTTTGTGTTATACTGTTATTACATATTGACTTGGACAATTTCTCTGGCTCCCATATTTTTAAGAGCTGCTTTTAGGTCTTCTCTAAATCTTCCATTTCACTAATCCTAATGAACGAGATATCGATTTTTCATTATAAAAAAAAAAAAGAGAGATCGATTTTTCAATTTGACTATTTCCTTTCAACACACTTACTTTAAATAAAAATAAATGTCGGTGTATACTTGATATAGACACATCATGCATTGATCTAGAAACTTATATTCATTATTTTTATTGCCCTCTTTATTTTGATCTGAGTCTCTTTTAGTTTGTGTTCATTTCTTTATCTTATGATTACCACTATAATTCGTATTATTGTTCCGAAGAAGACATATAAACCAAAATGCAATCATAACTCCCATTTCCATTTACATCTCACATTTTTAAAAAGTATATGTAAAATGAATAATAAATGAAATGTAACTTGTAATTATTAGTCACACACCTTGAGCTGCCAAACTGCGAAATCATGAGAGTCGGTGTGCATATTTGTTTTGAAAAATGGTTGACTTTTGCAGTCATACATAGTGATACATAGTGATACAGTACAACTCAAATATACTTCTATTTTTGTTAACATAGATGTTAAGTTCAATTAAAAAATAAAAACATAAATGTTAAGTTACTAACCACATGCTTGCTGACAATTTTGTTCCAAAATGTTTTCCTGAAAATCGGGAAAAAAAATCCGTTTCAAATTATCAAGTTCCAGATATCTACACCTCATTCGGTTGACCTTTTATCTCTTGAATTGGGCAGTGAAATTATAACCAAGACTAATTAAAGATCATTATTAGTGGAGTTTGTTGAGTTTGTATTGGTCGAATTGCAAATAATCCAGTAATTTTTCGTATTCAATGATCATTTCGCATGAAATAATTAGTCGTTTGGTGCATAGTTGTATAGTGATTAAAGCCATGCATTCGGATTCTTGTTACGTATAATAATTAATGATAATTAGTTTACTAATTATTAAAATTTTATGTGCGCTTATCAGTTCCATATATAAACAGTGGTGGGCCTATAAGTATTTAGTATTTACTGGGGCAGAGTATTAAAAAATTTAAGAAATAAAAAGATAAAATAACAAAACAAATTCAATAGAACAACAGCTCAAAAATAATACTCCAGCAACTTTTTATTTGGACGTTTTGTGTCTATTATTTCCGAAATTCTGATCACTAGTAATACCTATTAGATCAAAGTTACCATTATTGATAACATCCAGATTTTATTTGGACGTTTTGTGTCTATTATTTCCGAAATTCTGATCACTAGTAATACCTATTAGATCAAAGTTACCATTATTGATAACTAGATATGTCACAATGGAACTATGGATCGATCGATCTAGATTTGATCTTGAATTTTCTTTGGAAGCATGCTTGATCTGTTTTAGTTCTGGCGATCTAAATAACTAGACCAATCTGGCATAGTGTGGCGTCTGGCTAGATATACCATAACTATTGGTAACTGTAAGATCAAACCAAACAATAAGTAGGATGCTAGGATCTTTCACATGGAAGTGATTCACATGTAACAAGTTTTTCTCATGGGACAAGAAACTGACAAAAGGAACAAACTTTCCCACGTGGTGGAATTCTTTTCGCAATTATTAGGGTTATGGGACAACTTGTGCAGAAATATATATATTCTCATCGAATGGTTTTACACTACGTGGTCATGCGCAAATTCCCTCTAAAACCCTAAAACTAAAAAGCCTTGACTTGGACCGTTTTTATTATTTTCAGTTATATATTTAAGAGTTAAAATAATTGAGCAGGCCGTATACTTACTCTTTCATGATCATTGTAGGTTATAAGATAATATATAGTAGCATGATATTTTTTAGAAGGTAACTAAATTTTAAGATTTAATAAAAAAAAAAATATTGCCACATTCCCATGCGTATATAGGATAGTATAATTAGTTGTCTTGAAGGTTTTCTACACTCATCTGAAGTTTGTTAGCATGATTATAAAATAAAGAATAGACTTACTATCAATAGAAATTCGTGGTGATTCTTCTTCTAGAATTCCACAAATTAACATGATAATTTTATTATATTTGCTCATTGTGGTAACTTGCAATTTCATCTATGTGAAAAGGTATTATATTGACCATTTTGTGGGTTAATTGTAACGTATAATTTTGGATTCTATATGAAAATAAATTAATATTTAATTCTTAATATAATATTCCATATATGGTAGGTGGCCCAATGAGAGCTCACCATTCACCAATCCAAACTAAAACTTTTACTTTTAATTAGTATACTTAACAATAGAGAATTAATAAATGAAAACTATAATGTATGCCTTAGTTCCCACCATTGTATCTATAGTAATCAACTAGTGAACTAGATACACTTTTTTTAGTATGTAGAAATATAAATAGTAAAGTTTGGAATTATTTATGATAATTTAATTTCAATATCAAATAGGTAATGGACAAGAGGCGAAGTGGGACCAAAAATGACACTTTTGGGATCACGGTCTTTACTTTTGCTTCACTTCTATGCTTCGTTTCAACAACACACAAAAGCAAAAAACGAAAAAAAAAACAATTTATATTAAACGAAATCTTTATCCAACTTCCTCTCCGTTACTTTATTTTTGTGATTCTTTATTGCAGTTTTATTAATATATGATATTTTAGACACCAAATCTTTGCCCCGAAGTCCCTAACATCAGCCGCATAAGCATCCGATATTTGATGAACGTTACCTAAAATCAAACTGTATATATTCTAAATATAACTTACCTAATATGTATTTTAAAAAGATTATCCTGTTAGTTGGTTAGTTAATTAGTTAAATGATCACACGATATTGATATAATTAATAGGGGAACCATTTTTTTCATTGTTAATTTTTTCTGGTTTAGAAACAAAAAATTGAATGTATATTTACATACAACCATATAAAATTACCAAAATAAAAGTATGTGCGGAGGGTAATGACTCAGTCGATGAAACTTGAGAGACATTTTGACATCATAATGGGAGTAGTAGCCGTCTCTGTTTCTATCCTTGTAATGCTAGTTGAAAAAAAAAACTTTGACGAAAACATTTAAACATATATATATATATATATATATATATATATATATATATAACCTTCTCATCTCAGCATTATTAACTTAAATATTTATGCATTCACTGATAAGTGTTAGAACTTTTTTTTTTACAGAAAATGTTAGAAGGAAAGTTTTAGCAAAATCAAATGTTAGACAGTTAGAGTATGCAAGAGAAATATGTCTACTAAGTACTAAGTAAACTTGGTTCAATGACGAACGATTGTAAGGAACTTTTTGTTTTGGCTGTACTAATTCAGAGATCAAGATTTTTCCATTTACAAGTCCATTTACTACTAGCTCTCTGTAGAGTGTAGATCCCAGTAGAAAAAGTTAATTTCTATAGTTATTAGAAATTAGTTTGGGTCTTGTTTCGAAACTCCCCGTTGTTAAAAAAAAGAAGAAGAGTTTATATACCGTAAAAGACAAACTTTAGACACGAGTCTACCGATCTATGAAAAACTCGTGACGTTTGTGTTACAAAAATGGTAGATCATATCTTAGTTACACTTGCACAATTATTTTATTAACCATACAGGTAAAACAAAATTAAAAACAAAATAAGGAGGGTTTAAGAGAACGGGATAACGGGATGGGACCTACGTGACCAGGCCTGCAACAGCAAATCGTGAGACTAATGATAGAAGGCTCGCTCACGCCGGACCAGCAGCCGCCACGTCATCACATCATTCCGTTTTTTTTGCCCTTGTGGGTCCCGCCTTCCACTTACACCCGCTCAAACTCCTCGCTGTTTTCTTACAGTCACTCACTGAGTCACAGTTTTTAGTTTTATCAGCTAGTCCGGCTGCGCTTTAAACGGCTCCTGCGCTCACCAGTTTTAAACACATTGCAACAAGCCCTAATAAGACGCAATTCTCTCTATATTCGAAAGCCCACAGCAATAAAAAATAAAATAAAATTGTCTACAAGGGATAAAAAGCACATCCTCGTAAGGTTTGTGTAATCCCCAAGACAGAAATCCTTTTTACCTTTCATTAGGAAAATTAAACAGAAATATCTTCTACATGTACAACGCGTAACTTGGAAATATAAAACACATAAATTAGTGATATGGCGTTTGCTATTTGTTGTTTAGACAAACTTATTATCTTGGATTGAAAAAAAAGTAATTATGGCCAAAACTTTTGTTTTAAAAGTTCAAGTTCAGACTTTAGAGGAGAATAACAGTTAATTAGTTTAAGATGAATATTTTTAGGTCCTAAATATATTAACACATATGCTCACAAAAGTCTACGACTCTATGGTTACTTTTAAAGTTTCCAACGGATGAAAAAATCGAGTTTTGCATATACACACAAATTATGTAAAATTGTAAATGGAGAGTAACTATTACTTTTCAAAGGTATCATATAAATTGATTTTTCAGTTTATTATTCTTCAAGAAGATACATACACTTTCATAATATTAATTTTTGGAATGTCTCCACATTTCGTTTCATTGGAATAGATAGATATTTTGACAAAGATTTTCCCGCAAACAGACCATCGAACTAGGTTTTCTAAACTAATTCGTGAGTTACTTTTAGTAAGGATATTAGATATTTTCTGGACATAAAAGAAGTCCAAATTAAAACCAAGAAAATAAGCTTAATGTGAGGACCAAAAAAAGAACCTTAACATTGATGATCAAGCATATACATCAAGAGCTGGTGGGTGGTAATGGATGTTGCCACCTCTCTCTCTCTCTCTCTCTCAAACTTACTTTACCCCCTTATCCTCCTCTCTCTTCTCCCCCGAAACTTTTGCAACAAATAAAGTCCCCCCTCTCTCTAGTTGTAGAAGGATTCAGAGAGAGAGAGAGAGAGAGAGAGAGAGAGAGAGAGAGAGAGAGAGAGAGAGAGTATGATTGATAGGGAAAGAGAAAGAAAGTAAATATAATAGATTATTTAGGACACGATTGTCATCTTTTGTTGTGTCTTTTGTGCGCTCTCCTTCTTCTTTTCTTCGCCGATTGATCTTCTTTATTTAACCCTACTCTCGTTTCTCTTTTCCATTCTTTCTATCATTCCCTTCTCTCTCTCTTTCTCTCTCGGGATCTCATATCTCTTTCCAGTAACCTATTCCCGAGGGAGCACTGTCAAATCTTGTCCACCCTTCTCTGTGAGATCTCTCTCTTTAGTCTTGTAATCAAGTGTTCATACTTCTGATGTTAGCTATAGCAAGCACGGGATCATATACACAGAAGCCGAAAGTTGCTTTATTTGAAGCTGTTGAAAAGGTTTCAGCTAGATCATCCTGTATCTAGAGTTTTTTCAGGTAAAACCCTAATTTTCTGTCAACTTACTTTTCAATCTCCGATCCGATTCCTTCCCTTCACAAACAATTTGGGAATTTTTTTCTTCTTTAGGTAAAAGCCGTTGCTTTTGAATTATCTTTAATCTTTGATCATCATCTTCATCAATCAGCTTGATCATCATCATCTTCTCATCATACTCAATGTTGCTGATGTTACAAGCAAAGCAAAATATTATCTAATCTAAAATATTAACTTAATTAGTAGGTCTAGTTTTGTTGAGTTAATTAGATTTTTTCATAATTCTTGAGATAGATCATCATCATCTCTTTAAACATTTATATGATCTTCTGTTCTTTACTTGTTTGGGTTATACTTGCATGCCCAAAAAAAAGAAAAAAACAAAACAACAAGGTGTAGACTGTTATACCAATGAAACAATAAATGATAGGAAAATTAATTTTTACTTAATCGATTTAGTACATATAAATTTGAAATTCACGCGCGCATCTAGTTAAACTACTCGATTTAACTATCAACATATGGTGGTAAATAGAAACTGCTCGTTTCACTGATTTTAGCTTTTTGGAAAACACAATTATATACCATAAATCTAAGTAAATGAACATAATTTTATCGAAGAAAGATAATTAACCACATACGAATGGTCTTCATATAGATGTAACAAAAACATTTCTTGTGGTAAATAAATATATGATGATAATTGATAGAAGAATTCAATCTCTTATGAATTAAGCATAGACGCATAATCCTATGTTTATGTTGAAGTAATAAACCAATGGACAGGCGCACTATATTATGTAATAATAACTAGTAGCTACGACGTTATCTTGTATTCGTAATTTCATGATTTTGTTTTCAACTTGTTTGGTAATTTTCTTATGAGCAGGTCATTAATCGATCGAGAAGACTAGAGGATGAATTCATTTTCCCACGTCCCTCCGGGTTTCAGATTTCACCCGACAGACGAAGAACTTGTAGACTACTACTTGAGGAAAAAAGTCGCATCGAAGAGAATAGAAATCGATTTCATAAAGGACATTGATCTTTACAAGATTGAACCATGGGATCTTCAAGGTTTGCCCAATCCCATCATCTCTATCCTTCAGTCCTTTTAATTCAGTTTCATACGGAATGTTTTTTTTTTTTAAGATTTAATTTATCCTTTGTGGAACTAGAGCTGTGCAAGATTGGACACGAAGAGCAGAGTGATTGGTACTTCTTTAGCCATAAAGACAAGAAGTATCCCACAGGGACTCGAACCAATAGAGCAACGAAAGCAGGGTTTTGGAAAGCCACTGGAAGAGATAAGGCTATATATTTGAGGCATAGTCTTATTGGTATGAGGAAAACACTTGTGTTTTACAAGGGTCGAGCCCCGAATGGACAAAAATCCGATTGGATCATGCACGAATACCGTTTAGAGACCGATGAAAACGGAACTCCTCAGGTATTCTACCAACCCTAAATCATAACATCTCTTCATAAATTATTTGGATATTGTAATGTCAAACAATCTCAATCTATGATCTTTGGCTATATATAGGAAGAAGGATGGGTTGTATGTAGGGTGTTCAAGAAGAGACTGGCTGCAGTTAGACGAATGGGAGATTACGACTCATCGCCTTCACATTGGTACGACGATCAGCTCTCTTTTATGGCCTCTGATCTCGAGACAAACGGTCAACGGCGGATTCTCCCCAACCATCATCATCAACAGTACCATCACGAGCACCAACAGCCTATGCCATATGGCCTCAATGCATCAGCTTACGCTCTCAACAACCCTAACTTGCAATGCAAGCAAGAGCTTGAGCTACAATACAATCACATGGTACAACAACATCGTCTTCTTCATGAATCTCCTTTATCATTCCTCCAACTTCCTCAGCTTGAAAGCCCTAAGATCCAACAAGATAATAGTAATTGCAACTCTCTTCCTTACGGAACAAGCAATAATAACGCCAGTCATAATGCTAACTTGCAGCAGTCCAATCTCGCGCATGAGGACCAAATGAATCAAGGGAATCAGAGTTTCAGCTCTCTATACATGAATAGCGGTAACGAGCAAGGGATTGACCAAGTCACGGACTGGAGAGTTCTCGATAAGTTTGTTGCTTCTCAGCTCAGCAACGAGGAGGCCGCCACAGCTTCTGCTTCTCTACAAAACAATGCCAAGGACACAAGCAACGCAGAATACGAAGCTGATGAAGAAAAAGATCCAAAAAGGGTTTCAGACATGGGAGAAGAATATGCTGCTTCTACTTCTTCAAGTTGTCAGATTGATCTATGGAAGTGAGCAGAAAGAGAAGCTTATACCATATAAATGCATAAATACATATATCTACTATATACGTACACACGAACACTAATCAAGTGTAGATGATGATGATGGTACAGATTTATTTGCTTTGTTTGATTCTTACTACATTATTGAACTTATGTTATATGCATATATACACTGCGTATCTATGCATGTATACTTGTAATCAATATGAATTAACCATATAAACTCTAATCTAAATGTAACTCCGATATTTTTAATTGACATTTATCTCTTGTTATTATTCTAGTTGTTAAATGGTCTTCTAGTTAGATATATACACATACACATAATAAGAAAACAATGAAAGGAGAAGGATGTTTGAATTATGTATTTACTTAACCTGTACAATACACACAATCTACATTACATCTTTATAAAACATTCAGAAAAATTCAAATAAATTAAGCATATGTGGACTGACCACTTACCGGAGTTGTGTTCATGAGAATAACTCCAAGGAAGCCTAAAAGAGTATGCTTAGCCATAAATAGTGAAAAAGAAGGAGAAGAATGTGTGGTTTCAAGCCCATACAAAAATTTTAATGACATGTTGGCTGGTGTCAAGATTATGTTATATAGAGAGAGACCGAGGAAAAAGAAAGAAGAACTTTGTATCTTTTGGTGACAAGAAAGAAGAAGCTAAAGCATTTTCATGAAGGATTTTATAATTATTGTGTTTTCTTGGAGGTCGGCATAAAAAAAGAAACCGTAGGTTATAATTTACAACAATATGAACCATTACAATTTTACACTCTCTAAAGTCTAAACGTTCACCCAGCTCTTGCTAAAGACAAAATCAGTTGTTTTAAAACCTGTTCAAACTTGTAAGCTTTATCGCAAATTCCAGCCCATTCGATAATCCATCGTAAATGTGTAACATTATCGTTGAAAAATTTATCTTACGACAACAATTAACAAGACACACCATCGCTATGCTGCAAGATATTCAACAATAACGACGAATATTATTTCATTTGTCGACTGTGGAATTATTTCTTAATTATTTGTTTGCTCGTAGAAATTTGAGAAAACGATCGAAATTTTCCACATTTTTTGTTTGGTTCAAGGAACATCATAATTTGGGCGTGCCTCTTTGGGTTTGAAAAAACACGGTCCAGCAGAGAAGCTTGGATTTATCCAACTTTCTTACTATTACCACATTCCAAAGATTGATTAAAGAGCAATTAACTAATCACCAATGCTGTCGATCGATAAGTAACGATCAGAAATTCTGAGTAACATTAAGCAATAATATGAGACAAAAGCATGTGAAGTGTCATCATTAGTGTCTTTCTACTTTCTTCTACAGGCCACAAATCCCGAGACCAGGACCATAATAAGTTTTGAAACATCGATAATTAGTTAACTATATTAAATTAACTAATTAATCAATTGTTAAAAATGTACTTCCTCTGTTTTACAAAATTTGTTTTTAAAGAATTTTCACCCATTACTTATTAGTTGAAATATTAGTTATTAGAAAAATGAAAATTAATGCAAAGAATTTGTCAAGTTTCGTAGGGAATATTGCTTGCTAATCTACTGTTTTTAACATATTGATCTGACAAGTGCTTGGGGACAACCTATGTAGAGACATTCACCAGTAGACAAGGCTTTTAGGTTTTTGTCTTAAGAGACAAAATTAATCATTATATCTCTTTTTTTCAGTGTTATCTTTTCTTCTTTGTTTTTCTCTGCGGTAATTTACAACTAAGCATACAATACATGATTATAGTTACACAACACATAAAGATACAAATGTTATAGCTGCATTGTAGCCACACATGATTTTAACAAAGTGAATCTACTTGACGTCACAAAGACCGGTCTTTTCATCGCAGAATCCATCACGGCCGAGCAAACGTTGAGGTGGTGCACTGAGTAGCGGAGAAGAAGGCGAGCCATATGCATTTCTCCGGCTATTTCCACAGCCAAGACTCTTCCTTGTGCTCACTCCGGTCAATGGGTTTGTCCCGTTTGCGTATTTACACAGAGCCTTCCAACAGAAAAAAGGGAACCATTTGTAAAAGCTTTGTTCTGCTTTGCTAATTGAACTAATAGATAAATATAATGGTGGTGTGTTACCTGCTTTTGAAGAAGATCAATCACAGCATCACTAAAATCAGCACCTTCAATCTTGGCACCACCGAGGTCACTACGAGTAAGAACGGATCGGACCAGGACCGCGTTTGTCAGATTCGCCTCGTTTAGTACCTAAAATGGCCAAAAACAGAATCGAGCTTTACCCTAAAGAAAAATGGTTTGCTTGTGTGCACGTATATAAATATTCAAAGTATAGTGTATGTTGTTTACCATACGGTCCATCAATGTATCACTCAAATCAGCACCTGCCATTGAAATTCACAGCTTACATAAATACCAACTAATATTAAGGAATACAACAAGAATGACTGTAAATGAATTTTCTTTCAAATCATAGTTTCTTTCAATGGCAAAGGCAAGGCTAAGTGATAGCACAGATGAGAAAGAGTACCTGAGAAGTTAGCTTTGTATGCGACAGCTTTCTCAAGATAAGCGCCATTGAAGGTCGAACCACTGAAATCAGACTCTCTCATGTCTGCAGAGGTGAAATTGGCTCTTCTGCAGCAATCAGTAAACCAACACACAGAAATTCAGAAGCAGACAAAAAAGTCTTCCTTTTTCAGATTGATGGTTTCTTAAGTCAACAAGATTTCATTACATCAAATTGTGAAACACTTAAATCTTTACGACCTAATGATCAAAATTTTGAACTTGTAGATTCAAGTCTCCATCACCGACGAAAGTCAAAATTATATTGAAGTGAAGTCAAATATTTACCTGAAATTTTCATTGGAGTGAACTGTTTTGCTGCAAAACAAACAAACAGTGTTCATCTCAGCAAACTTCCAGTTCCACCATAACAGATGAAAATGCTCCAAGGATTTAATGCGAATCTTCGAAAGTTTGAGACAAGAACCCCTAATGTTGATACCTGAGATCAGCAGAACCGAACTGAGCAGCTGATCCAATCCCGAACTCGCCACGTATATCGGCCTCGAACTTATTAAGCTCTGCCATGGCCGGCACGCCGGAGCTTGAAGCGATAACCGCCGCTGCTAATGCTCCCGATAAAAACCTCTTCCACGTGTTTGATTCTTTGCTGGAACAACAATCTTCCCTTTTCGAAGAACAATTCGATGCCATAAGTTTCTACAACCCCAAAAAATTGCAACAGAAAAAGGAAACATTGAGACTCACATATGATTTGATGAATCTCTCATTTCTTGGTTTGAACGGGAAATTAGCTGTAGACGCCTCAATGGGTACCTAGGAAAATGGTACAGAGACCTTGAGACGGAAGATGAGGATCGTGAAACATCAAGAGACTTCGTGGGTAAAGGAGAGAAGGAAGAGAGAGCCATCGTTAAAGGTCCAAACTTTGCAGAGCAGAAATGATACAGTACATTCAACTTAAGGAGAGAGAGATGATCTTACACGTGTGAAGAAATTCAGTTTTATCCACTTTAAATGGGTAAGATGCATACACGTATGTCACTTGTGTTCACCAGTTTTATTTTCTTGGTATCTAAATTTCCAAGTTTTGTAGTTCACTCGACTCTGTTCTCTACTACCTTGTGACAAAAACAGAGGAAAAAAATAAAAATCGGATCTTTGGTTTAGTTTCAACAGAACTGTTAGTCATGTGCACTAACAAGTTCATAAACAGACACTTTTATTGTTGTGTTTATATTCTGATGTCTGCTTATGTGAAACTACATTAGAATGTGTAATACTCTTCTAGTTTTCCGGGGGAGAAGTCAGGATCTACAACTGCGCCGTTCTTGATCTTCTCTTGAAGGTCTAAACTCTTGGGAAGTATAATCTCCGCTCCTAGACCTTGCGTTGAGAAATACCTCTCCAACAATATCTGTAACATAAGACTCAATAAGAACCAATAGATACTACGTTTCAAAAATCGAGATTTGTCTTCTCATTGCCTTTACCACAGCAGCGTATGCATCTTCTCTGTTCTGTCTCTCACTCTTCTTGAGTCCCCTGGATCAATACAATGTTTCAAACATCATCAGGTTCAAATAACTCAGACATCAAACCTGAATTGCTAAAACCAAGAACAGAGGAACTAACATTACAATCATTCTGTCTGAAGCTTCTGTTGATGTCCCGTGTTCATCCAATACATAAACCCTCCAACCCCTGAAAACCCCAGGAATTTACCAATTTAGTCACATTTCGTTTTATATTATAAACAGAGATATGTATATATGTATGTGTGTGAGTGAGCTTCACTTATCGGCGGCTTGAACAGCGAGCCGTCCGGCAACAGATCGAACTTTGTTCGACTGAACCGTCTCTTTCCCGTCGGAAGATCTCGGCAACCCAATTATGAATTCATCAACCTCCTGCAAATTCACAAGCACAAAACTCCGATTATCACCAGTCGATTCTCTGAAATTAAGCGAAAATTCGAAATGATACCTCTTCTTCAGCAATTTCTAATAGCTTCGTCTCGAGCTTTTGTCCTCTCGATTTCAAAACCTAATACCCAGATCACTTCAATTCATATCATCATCGTAACGCCAAGAGATCGGGAAATTCGAAGTTACCGTGAGAGGTTTGACGGTGTAGCCTTTACTAAGAGCGATTCCAGTCCGAGATAATCCTAAATCTACGCCGAGACTAAACCCACCTCTCCAGTTCGGGTCTATTTTCCGGCGAACGGCATTTGGAGGAATTTCATCAATTGACGTCGCTGCCCTCAACGCCAGAGGATAATTACGAGATCGTACGGGAGTTAAGCAAAGAACGAGAGGGGTATTTACGTATTTTGGGGTTCCGAAAGGAATTGCCATGGAGGACAAACATTGAAGAGAAGACATTGCAATAGCAAGAGCAAGAAGACGAACAGTTTCCAACACTTGACGTTGACGATGAGCCAAAAAACTCTGTTCTTGAAGACCTTCTGAGCTAGTCCAAAGGTTTTATCTTTTTTTATGTTCCGTCAACAATCGTATATTACAAAATAAAACAACTTTATTTCACCAAAATTTGAATAATGAAAGTGAGAAAAAAGTTCTCAACAATCATATGATAATGTTTCAGTGCCCATTTTTCTTACATGATGAATCAAGATCAAACCCGAACCATATAATAAAAATAAAAATTTATTACAAATCAATCTACAAAAATGAAAAATAATTAAGTAAACCAACTTCGCTGGATTGGGTGAATACTAAATAATCAGTTGCGGGAGAGAGCACGAACAGCATCCTCAGAGTAAGGGTGAATAAAAGCACTGTTCATTTGCCACACTTTGAACGACGCCGTCACAGTCGCATCAACAGCATTGTTGAACAAGAACAGCTTCGCTGCTCCGTAGATGGCTTTTGTCGGATATACTCTTGATGTGATGCATGTTCTTCCACCTTGTCCGAATGCTTCTACTATCGAATGATCCACCTATTACAAAACAGTTTATCAAATTCAGTTAGTGTTCAAGAAATAAAACTAAGATATCAAAGAATGTAAGGTTATTATGATTCAAAATGTATTACCAATATTCTCATGGTCAGTTTCTCCCCTTTTAGAACCGGTACGGAACTACCATATATCGGTTTAACGACATCGTTTGCATAAGATGACCTGTTACAGAAAAATCATGTTATTTTTTCATAATCGAATATTGTGGTTGACTAATGACTATGATCTATGATAATTTCAAGAAATTAATAATACCTTGAGGCGTCTGTGCAGAAGAAAGTTTTGAGCTTTGAGTCTTTTCCCTTAGCCACGTAGAAGTAAACCGGTGTTTGCTCCGACAACTTCTCATCGGCGAGAACTGAGAATCCGAACGGGCCTAAAGCACCACGGACGGTGGAGCCTCCACTCGTCTGGCAGCTAAATTCCTCAGCCTCAGCTGCCACCGAAGTGTCTCCGAGGATTTTGTCAAGAGATTCTTTGTTGATCTCGAATTCTGCTTCAATATCGAGCTGAGTTGCGGAATCCACATCCACAGGGACCACCTTTCCAGGGCCGACTTCGATATCGAATTTCTTGTTGCTTAATCTAAGAGATTTGGTTTCTTCCACTGGCCATTGAACCAAGTTCTTCCCTGTCTTCGTGTCGAGGACAACAGTTCTTGGGATACCCTAATGGTCATATAAACAAAACTTTAGAACTTGACTTGGATTGCAAGCAACCACATCAAATATAACCTAACTTTGTAAATACGTTACGTGAAGGAAATAAAGACATACCTGAAGAGAAGACCAACCCTTTTGTACATCAGCAGCCTCACTGTCAGATTCACCAATCCAACCCCACAAGATTCTCCGACCCTTGTTCTGGTCGTAAAATGTCTTTGAAGCATAGAACTTTCCGTAGTCATATCTTAAACTAGCTTTCATCCCAACATCGATAGTAGGATCATCCGGGATCCATGTCCCGTTGGAATCGAAATACGTTCCCACGGCATAATGATCGATCCTCGTGTCGTCCATGCTAGCCTTCACGATGTGCTTCACATTCGGTCCGTTGACGGATGTGTCGAGCCCATTGGCAGCGGTCATGGACACCGGGTAGAAGTCAACGCACTCCCACATCCCGGTGTTAGGAACTCGGTGCAACAATGTGTCGAGCTTCTCGAATGTCTTGAAGTCGGTCGTGTCGTACACGAGTGAGATTCCTGTTCTGTTGAGCTTGGAACCAATTGTGATCCTCCATTTTCCTTCCGATGTCTTCCAAGCAGTCGTTGGGTCACGGAAGTCCTTGGGAAGAATACCCGGGGGAGGTACTAGAACCGGGTTGCCTGAGAACTTGACCCAATTCAATAGGAGTGGGTCGTTGGGGTCTTCAGGGTAGGCAAGGTTTTGGACCTGAAAACATTATATTATTTATCATTGATTAAATCACTAAACCTAATTTTACATGTTCAAGATCTAACTTACCAAAAATCTGGCTATATAAACTCATCAACTACTCTACTACTATTCACCTAACAGTCAGTTAACAATATCTTTAAAAAATATACTGTATTTGTTATGGATAATTATCCCGTTTCTTATAATAATAAAAAAAAAAAAAAATCATTTATCAAAAAATTGTCACATGTGCACTCATCAACTGTACTATTCGCCTAACAGTTAACAAGCAAAATAAATTTGGTATCAAGTTACAAAAACTGTGACTGTACGGTTTAAATTTTGTTATTTTGATTTGGTTTTAACAATTTAAACATTAAATGTAAAGTTAAAATCCTCTCGGGGTACATACATACCTGTACGGATTTGTCGGTGGAGCCGGTGTAGAGCATGACGATAGAGCCATCATCGAGGAATGTGGCTGAGCCGGTCCAGACACCATTGGCGTCGTACCATTGGTCAGCGACCATGGCTAAGGGCAAATGGACCCAATGGATTAGGTCCTTAGACACGGCATGACCCCAAACAATGTCTCCCCATACGGCTGCGTTTGGGTTGTATTGGTAGAAGAAATGGTACCATCCCTTGTAGAACAACGGACCTGGCCAAAATTCAAACAATTTATTTTAGTGTGGTCAAAATGATAATAACTCCAAAATATTTGGGATCTTATCCGTAAATGAGAATATTTTAGGTATTAAAACGAAATACAGCATAGTGTAGTATACCCCACTGGCTTTATCCCAATTTGAGACAAGATCCAAACATTTCATTCATAAAGGATTTGTACAATCAAGATTCAGGATTACTTTTCTATGGCAACCAATGATTTGTACATCTTTTTAGCATGTGAATCACACACGTGGGAAACAAACTGGCAAAAATCAATTTAAACTAAAATATTAATATTGCAATTGGTTGTGAGGTAACTCTGTTCAGATTTTGTCTGTGAACCTTTTACTCTTTTAGGTGTAAAAAGTTATTAACTCTGGCTATAACGTGGTTTGTGTGATACGATGTTCTGTGATCAACTACTTCTTGTCGCTCAATTATTTCTTAATTTTTTAAAAGATTTTACATTAAAAAAACACATTTATACCAAAATTAACGAGATCTAAGAGAAAGTCAATACTAAAAAAAAAAAAACAGAACATAAAAAACAAAAAGAGAGAGGAAAGTGTAACTTACCATTAGGATCTGCAGAAAGAAAATCCCAAATTTTCCATTGAGCAACACCATATTGGATGCAGGAAAACAAAAGAACAAACAAAATTATTAGAACAAAACTAAAGACTAATTAGTAAGAGATCACGTAGTAATTAGATTTCGCTGGATTTGAATGAATCTTTCACTGTTTCACAATTTGGAAATTTGAAGATGATTTCAGCATCATATCCCATATTATGGAAAAATATATGTATGACAAGGACTAATGAATATTCATTGGATTTGTAACAAAAAGAAGAAAGACTTTTTTCTTTTCTTTTGCTGTTATTCTGTTTGTTTCAATAATTAAAATCAATAAATTAAGATTATCATTTTTAGCGTACCGTTCATCCAATTCTGTTCAGGCTGGAAATGGAACGCCGTTCGCTGCCACGACAACATACTGTTGTTCCAGGCGAACGCCGCCGCTTTACGATCACCGGAAAGTTTCCACAACCTGTCGTTGCTTTTCTCCGACACGCCGGCGAGACGTGCACGTGAGGTTGTCGTCGCTGTTCCATCGCTCTCGAGCTTAGCGTCGTGAGATCTAGATCCGTCGTGCGTGGCGATGAGAGCGACGTAGAAGGCGATGAACAAAAGCCCGAATGAGACGGCGAGGAGACCTTTGAAGGGTCGCCTACCGCGAGGGGTTTCCGGATTCGGGTCGGATCTTGACCCGTCGAGTAAGGAAGATAATAATGGGTCTTCTTCTCTGGCGGAGATTGGCAAAAGAGCATCGGAGCTCGCCATTTTTTTTTCTCGTTTTCGAGTTTGTTTTGGAGATTTCGATGGCACGAGAAAGAGCAAATGCCTTTATTATTTATAATATATTGGAAAAATCGAAAAAAAAATGGAATTATGTTTTCCTGCTTCGCTGGAAGAGAAAAAATTGCGTCCAAGTGTCAAAAGTAAAAAGAGTTTGGTATTGGTATACAAACTAGAACAGTAATATATCTGTATTAGTGACGTGTCTGAATCATTATTAGAAAAACCATTAATGTATACAGTTTACAGTTTTTCTAGGCGAAGGAAAAAAACAAATTCTTTTTTTGTATGTCTGTTTTAAGTACTTTTACAATTCTACAATGTATTTAGTTGTGACATGTAAACTAGTATAGTTTCTCGAAGTTGAATAAAAGAATTTCATCAGGAAAACAATCGTATTCGTCCTTATCTGTTAATTTAGTCCTTCGTTTGTTTGAATGGGTATGAGTATGACAGTGATATGAGTTTTACATTGATTTGTCCACGTAATTGTTATACAAATCCATAGATAGAAATACGTTTTTTCTAGAATATTGACGTGGCAGATCTTTTTTTTTAAACATACTTATATGATTCCATAATTTGATATAAATCTTTACTTGTTAACTAAATTGTATGATTGATAGTTGATCTATGGACAGGTCGTTGATCACAACCCTAGCCTTTTGCTAATAACCGATTCAAATGTACACTACTTTTCAGTTTTCACTTCAAGATTTGGAAACTAGAAAGTTGTAAAAACGTGGGACAGTGTTATTTAATTACAGTAAATGCTTATTTTGGTTTATGGAACAATATAACTGACTGCCACGAGTTTTTACTTTTTACTATTGACTTTACATGGTGTAACAAATTAGTTTGTGTTCCCGTGTTGGATACTATAACCACTTTAACGAACTTATCGCAATCGTGGTAAGGACATTACGAATCAGGCCAAATGAATTAACCAAACCACTCTATGCAACATATCAATTGGAATAGGAAAAACGGAATGAGAAGATTAGATGTGTTAGTTTGCTAATATAAGTTTACGAAACTTAATGAACCATATTGATCAGGGTTTGTATTATTGTATTACCGTTGTGGTATGAATTCAAATTACATAGTGTGCGTCTGTGCGTGCATGATGAGTTGTATACGATATTTTAAGAAAAAAGCATGTGAACTAACTAAGAGTCTGAAACTGATTGAAGGTAAGGAGACTAGTGATTCAAATACGAAATTCATTTCTTTTACACGACAACCAATTGGTGTTACCAACTTAATTAAATTGAGTAATTTGTATTGAACTGAAAATAATCAAAACATAGAATGATAGAAAGACTCGAGACACACGAAAACATGACCAGCCAACTACTAGTGTAAAAGGTGACTTTTGAAATACATATAAAACTATTAGACCACCCCGTAGACGGTACATCTATCATGTACTAACTGTTTACCAGCCAGAAATTTAGCTAATTTTTGTTAACCATTTATTTGATTTGGCCGGTCGAAAACATGGAGGTCTAAGTTTACCGAATGTGTTTCCTTAATGACCCGAACATATTCACACGATTATCTAAACAGCAAGAAGTAATTTTAGTTCAATCAGGACAACTAGTTATGCAATTATTTACTCATTTAGCCACTTGTTAGTTTGGACAAGCACATGAAACATTTGTTTAAATGTAATACATTGTCTCAATCACAATAATGTGTCAGGAACCAATGTCCAATAATTGTGAGAAGAAATGAACCCAACACCGATTTATACAAAGATAAACAATTGTTATAACACGTGAAACCTCTTCCAGCCACATATTCAATTGCATGTGGAATTGAAGGACTGGATAGTAACTAGTAAGATCTGAATCAATGATTTTGTTCTTTCTTAACTCTGATTGCATTTCCGCTCTTAAAATTAAGTTAAGATGAAGATATATGATCAGCAAGATCTATTTATATGATTAAAACAGTCTACAAGTTGTTGGTAAAAATCTTAGTCTACCATATTTCTTGTGGTTGTAAAGGGTGTAAAATGCAAAAATAACTCAAAGCCATATCAACAAAAGAAACTACGTTGGTAAAAATAAATTTGTGAATTTTAACTAATCCGTTTTCACGTTGTCTATTATTTTTCTTAATGGATTTAACACCATTATACGTTAACTCAATAAATTGGAAAAGACAAGATCTTGTATAATTGAAGGATGTGGGGAAACTAGATCCACATGTAAAAGATCGATAGGTTTCTGGCAGACACCACGTGCTCTGTCTCCCTCAAGAAATAGAATCTATGGTTTTTTTCTAAGCAGAATATGCATGTACAGTCGTCCGAGAAATTTTGAGAACCTTATAAATTTGTAAAATATTCAAAAAGTAAGTATAGTTATCCTTCAATAAAAAATTGATTGGCAGCCAGTCAATCACTCCATTTCTATGAAATTATTCGAACTTGTAATGAAAAATCTCATTGAATTCAAGCTATTTCGTTGTTAGTATTCAATTTTGTTTTTAAAGGATACGATCTCACAACAATTTACAATCACACACGTCGTCAAAATAAAACACACAATCATACAAAGAAAAAATTACTGAATATTCAATATTTATAGGTTAACAATAAGTTCTTCAAATTTGACATTTAAGAAGGTTGATAGAGAAGTGGCTAGAGATCATATAATATGTCTGACTGTTATGGATAAGTTTTAGGTCCATCCTCGTCATTATCTCCATGCTATTTATCATTTAGTTCACACATAAATTCACACATTTTTTTTGTGTACTTAAACCTTCTTTCTCACCCACAAAATCAATTATTTCGATATTTTGTCCTAAATAATTTTTGGATGCCAATTTGACATAGAATCAGCTACATCAAATACAAACATCACAAGACTCACAACTTTTTTAATTAAATGATTCTTAAAGTAATCTTGTTTCTTTGGAACCTATAAATTTAATAGACAAAACTTCTGTATTTTCGAGTTTAAACTCAAGTTCAGTTTTGGTTTGTACAATTCCATGGATACCAATACCATCAAGACCAATATCAGAGAACCTAATAAGTCAACTGCAGAAAAACTCACAAGTTTCAAACAAAACAGCACAACAACGATTTATTTTAGTCTTCAACTAAAGTCTCGTACCTTGCAGCCAAAGTCTCAGACCAGAAACCGTAATGAACAAGGAACACGAAAACGAAAAGTAAACAGAGTAAATTAAAGAGGCGTGTTAACTGTTAAGTAACATGGAACTGTAGTTCTCTTATTGATTCAGATGCTCAGTGATTAAAAAGAAAAGCTTCGTTTTAGACATTAGGAGGTGGCCAAATCTTCCCGAAAAGCTCTTCAACGCGTCTCGCTTGGTTGGCATAACCTTCCACACCAGCTGACAAAAGCTCCACTGATGCAGGACCCATAGCTGAAGCCAAGCTTAGCTGGTCCCATTTCACCAGCTAAACAAGAACCAAACATAAAGAATTAGACAACGGTTTAGCTAAACCAGAAGTGTTGGTTAAGTCAAGAACAAAATATAACCTCTTTGTTGGTGAAGTTGTAGTGTGTTGCGGTATCAGGAGACAGTTTCCGAACGAATGAGTATTTTTCATCGTCAGGAATTGCAGGCGAGTCTTTCAGAGATTGCAGCACCTTTAACGGTGCAATGACATAATCAACCCTGAGATTTGAAGATAACATTAGGACTTACAATGGAATATAGAATTTATTGATGATCGGTTTGAGTTTGCACCCGAGAAGGCTGAACAAGTCTTGTTTGTTTCTAACAGCAGCAGCCATTAGCTTGGACTTGTAACCATACTTGTGAATGTAGTTATATGATCTTTTGACCAAGGCCAAACCGGGATCTTCCCCGGATTTGATAGCTTCTTCGATATCGGTGTCTCCCGAATGGTTACGAGCCCAATCCTAAAAAATTCAAGAGATGTTAGCTTTGACATATCACTGACACTACTCAGCATTTGTTGAAAACAATGAAATGTTACCCTGAGACGCCCGACGAAAATCTGAATGACAGACGCACCGGCTTGAGCTGCTGCTGCAGCTTGAGCAAAGCTAATGTTGAATGCAAAACAAGAATTAATCAGGTGAAAAATTCTACAAGCAGAGAGTAGAAATATATTTATGTTCAGTGGTACCTGTAAACAAAGGTCAAGTGCGTCTGGATTCCCTCGGATTCAAGCAATCTTGCAGCTTCAATACCCTATGAGAGTGATAAGCATGATACTAATTATACAGAGAGACCTGTAAAAAATGAAAGCTTTGTCAAGTCTTTGCTTAAGAAAAGTCTTACTTACTTGCCAAGTTGCAGGGATTTTGAATAGTAGCCGGTCGTGAGGTACATCGATTTCGTTGTACAGTCTCAACAGATCATGAACCTACACATCAACAGCATAATCACATCACATCCAATGCCAGAAATTACAGAACCTATACACATATATCAACATAATCACATCACATTTCAGAGATTAAAGTACAAGAAACATATACTCTGTTTTGTATGATATAGAGACTACCTTACGGGTAATGCCGTTTGTGTCATAAGCAAGACGTGCATCCACTTCAGTTGAAACTCGACCTGGAACTAGTTTGACAAGATCGCCTCCTACGTTTACAATAGCCTGCACTTTTCTCATCAGTAATTGGCAGAAAAAGATCCGGAAGAAGAAAAAACAGAGAATTATTAGAAGATGAACCTTGTTGAAAAAGCAAGAGAGACGGGATTCAGTGGTATCAAGCCCCGCACAAGACGAATCCACCAAAGCCATGTCCACAGCATTCTAATCGTGATGTAAGAGAGTCAATCATGTAAGGCCAAAAATTGATGCTATATAGATCTTACATATATCTAAATGCCTAAATGCTTACTCGGAAAATCGTATCTGGTAGACCGCAGATGCCTAGGAGGAGACCGGAGCTAACAGTTGCCGCAGTTGGCGGGAACCTGCACATCAATTATATACAAACAAAGAATGATATTTCACAATTAGTAAAGCTTAGAAGCAACATCTTAGTCTTATAAAAGTAGAGATCATATATGTTACCTCTCAAAGTCATCAAAAACGACTGTATCAGGAACAATCTCGCTGAAAGCTGATACAGCATCCAGCTCATTGTTCTCACCTGTAAAATGCAATTTTTATCAAACAGTTTCTCAATGATGATCACAACGTTTTCCAATAAAAATCATAACTTTAACATCCAAGAACAGAGTTTTTACACCAAAGACACAATTTGAATGATTCAGTTTTGACCATAAGTCAACACTATTCAGCTAAAGAAGTAAAGCAGCAACCAGATTGGATCAAAATCGGATTCATTAACGCACCAAACCAAGAAAGGCTTTACTTTTCAAGTAAAAATAGCAACTTTATCTAGCGTAGCTACTTAATTTGCATGTTTCCAGAAATCAAATTAATGACAAAAACACGATCATTTAAATGATATAACAATAGCAGTACCAGCTCCGAGAGATGAAGACGATGGAGAGGGGGAGGAGCTAGCGGAAGCATGAATTCGAGGAATCGATCGCCGGAGACTGAAGTTAACGGCGGGAGGAGGAACGAGAGAGAATCCGGCGGCAAGAGTCTTCCATCGTCCCTTCTGCTCAGTTCAAAGATCACAATCCATGAGATGTAAATACAAAGATAGTAACAATGTAGACATATTGAAGAAAATAAGTTAAGCAGAGAATAAAGACAGAGAGTAAAGTGAGTACTTGGATCGAAGCAGAGAGAGTTGCAGAAGGCGGAGATTTCAAAGAGAGTGGCATTTTTTTCGCTTCAGTTTGATCTGTCTGAACCGAATCCAGCCGTTGATATCATCCGATTGAGGTGGGTCCCGCCTTTTTTAATCTCTTCTCTAGTTTATCCAAAAAATGTCACAAGATAAGACTGTGAAATTATTATTTTGTTTATGATTAGGGACTTGAGATTTTCATACATATTTCGAAAGACGCATATTGACTGTGAAATTTATTTGTCTGTTGTATTTGAAAATAGTTAAGAGAAATAACGAAGAAGCATGCTTCTTGGGGGTTTGTGAGAATCACACCGTTAAGTTATAACTTTTCTTAAAATAACGATGGATGGCCCATTAAGTTACTAATACCCACAGCCACAGGTCCATACGGCCTTTTAGTAACGAGTTTCAGTGTCCCACATCGGAAATGTAAGAAAGTTTGATAGCGGAGATATTAGTATAAACTATAAATAGACTTCACTCTCTCATGTTATCAGTATCACTCACGCAGCCATGTGGTGATCACAAAGCGAACTATTCTTTCGCCTTTTACTAAAGAATACCGTGTGCTCTCCACGCCAAGTGGCATACGCCTATTTTTGTTGGGTTTCTACTTTTTAGTGGACCCAACATTTTTTAGTCTTAATAATTTAATTGTGGGCAAAATCACATTTGCCTCCCTTCGTCGCTAGAATGCTTTACTGTTGGGGAATCAAAAAAAAATGACAAATAATCAATAGGATAAGATAAAACAGGGCCTACATTTGTTTTCCAATCAAGCCGTCTCCGGAAAAAGCAAAGATCATAAAGAGGAGAGGAGAGGAGAGCTTTGCTTATCGTATGTTAGTGGAAATTTCCGCTTTATGATCATAAAGAGGAGAGGTTTGTTTTACTGTGCCACCGTATGTTAGTGGAAATTTTAAAAGTTGAACGCATTATAAAAGAAATATAATATTGTAAAGTTCTTTAGTAAAGCATTTTTTCTAATTTATGGATGTTACTTGGACCTTTTGCACCTAGTGAATGGCAATACATCTTAGTCTAGTTATAATATTAGAACGTATCCAATACAAAACAGAAAGGTTTGAACTTTGAAGCACAGTAATCAAAACAAACAGCAGACAAGTCAAATTAATCAAGCTATTTAACCAAAAAAAAAAAGGGAAAGCCATAAGTGGAAACTGATTTCATATGACTAATGAGTGATGAGTGCGCATCCTTTGTTATTAGATATTTCCAAAATCACCTCAAACTGTATTATTTTGTTTTACATCTACTTTCTTATTAGTGGGTGTTTCACTTTCATTAATGCTCCCCCCACTGTTTCTCTACTTTTTCACATGTTGGAAACAAAACAGCCACAAGACAAACTTACAAGTACATACACACACGTCTTCACAGAACGAAGCTCACAAAGTCATATCATCAACTTTAGGTTTTCAACAACGGCAAAAGCTCTGGATAGCTTGACATAAATTTAACAAAATCATTGTATGCTTCTACGATGAGATGATCATCGTCCCAATTATCCCTATATGTAGCGGATTGTGCATAAATTCTCTTGAAACCGATATAAAACATTTCTTCTCTCCATTTCTCTATCCGTGGATAGTCACATTGATCCGCAAGCCAATTATCATACTCAAACTGCAATAAGAGTTTCACGAGAACAAATGCTTAGTCTCAAACATTTTTTTAAAAAATAATATGTTGTGGAAAGTAGTGGTAAGAAATGTATGTACCTGAGAGTCATCAGGCATCAAATGTGTATATCTTACGGGAATACCCGAGGCTTCGAGCTTATCGTAGAAAGCCTTAGTGTCTTCCATCATCTCATCTTGCGATGGGAGAGATACTCGTCCAGACAAAACCGCTGCGATCCACTTGCTTTGAAGCTCAAACATGGGAAAGGGAGTGATCTAAAGAAACCAAGTCAAACCAATTGTAATGAGATCATATGTAGAAGCAACGAATAGATTCACACACATTTGTTTAACATTACTAATGAAGATTATTAACCTGCCATGGTAAGCCGATGAAGGAAAGGCCTGGGGCAAGAGCTGGAGGAAATACATGTTTATACAACGGTCCAACACGATTATCTTCAACGGTCACTTCGCCTTTCGTGTCAAGAAACGGGAAGTAATACTTGTACCTGAAGATAATTGACAAGATCAAAAAGGTCAATGAAAACGTTTTCAAAACACATGTGTACCATGTTCAAAGCCAAAGTGTATCTTACCCGGTACAATGCATAATGGTATCGGCGTAGACCGTCTTTTCATTTTTGAAAACCACCGAGCCGTCTTCACGGGCAGTTTCAATCTACAATGGACGTAGCGAGGAATCGTTCAATGGTTTTCTGGACTAACTGAATCACTAAAGCAATCAGGATCATTGATTGGGAGCTTTAGTTAATTAGTACCGTTGAGTGAAGCCAGAGATTGTCGTAACCGGGAAGCTTCTCGTAAGTCTCCGGTGAAGTCGATCTAGATGAGACGTGGACTTCTTTAGCAACTTTCCCTATATCTCTGCTTATATCAACACCGCTCGCTGAGCTACCGATAACTATCACTACCTGCAAAGGCAACAAAAAATAAAACGATCCAAGAGTTGAAGTGAAGACAAACGTAGTTTTGAGATCGGAAAAAAAAAAAAGGTTTTGAGACCGCAAGATTCGATGTAGTGATGAGATTTTTCTGCAAGTACCTGATCTTTGAACTGATCTGGAACACGGTAATTGTGGCTGTGAACTTGCTTTCCTGGCCATGTATCTATGCCTGAGAAAACCAACCTATTAGTATTATTTTGTCCCTTTGGAAAACCTAAATCTTGATATTGTTTGACGAATAAGTCATCATCCCTCAAGAAAACTCTGTTTTCTATGATTTTTTATTTATTTATATGTATGATTAATTCCTTACAACAAAAACGTCTCATTAAAACTGAAAGCTGCGTTTGGACCAAATCTAGCTAGTCGAATCAAAATCAAACTAGAAACCAAACATATTTTTGTAATATCTCGAAGCTTAATTTAGTCCAACCAAAGCAAATTGGGTAAAAAAATAAAATTAACTCACGTACGTAAAGAGGAAATAACAATTCTTCTATTGAACTAAACTTTTTACTTATAATTTCAATGATATAATATTACTTTCAACGATTTTAACAGACAACTAAGAGGACACGAGTATGGTTTCGTTATTTACCAGCGATAAGAGCATGACGTGGCTCTGTATAGTGTCCGTTACAAACCACGACGGCGTCGTATATCTCGTGGGCAACACCATCGGCGTTTCTCGACTCAACCTTCCACTTCCGACAATTCTCCTCCTCCGCCGCCGGCTCCGCCTTAACAACCTCCGTCTCAAACCTGATCATCTCCTCGATATCGAATTCTTTAACAAAGTCTCTCAGGTAAGCAAGAACCTCACTATGACCCGGATGTCTTCTCGGATCCCTTGACCCGTCGTTTGGTCGGGCCGCAAAAGGGAAGTCAGTGAAACCCATGCATTCTCTGGGGATGTTGGTGCGTAGGGATTTGTAGAGGCTTGAGTGGACGACAGGTCGGGTCGGATCGAGGCTTAGCGGGTCCGGTTCGACTTGAGAGGTGTAAGCCCACACGCCTCCGATTTGGCTCCCGCGCTCTAGGACGACCACAGAGTGTCCTTCACGACGTAGCTCACGAGCAGCTACGAGCCCGGCGGCTCCGGCTCCGATTACTGCCACGTGGAGAGTGGATGTTGGATCAGGATTACTTGGTGCCATTTACGGTATAGCGAAGTATTGTGATCTAATAAGGATGAAGAGAGATTGTAATAATGTGGAAGAAGAGAAAGATGATGATAGTGTGTGTCTCGATTATAACGATGTGCTTTTATAGACGACGAAAAATGTACCTCAAAGGATGACGTGTAACAGAAGTAGACAATTCTCACATAATCTCGTATGAATATTAAATTCAATTAAGTAGGTGGCATTACTTCAACCATGTACATGTTTTCGTATCAATAAACTTGATTGGATTACGAATGTTAAATGATTATAAAATTTGAAGAAGTATTAGAAACATAATTTATCATTGATTCTATTTATAGTTTATCACTCTCCTGATTTATATTTGGTGTGCATGTATGTTGTGGTGACATTTTTGCATTTTGAAGTTGGTGTCTAAACAAAATAATATTGTCAATATGTTTCTGATTAAAAAGTAGATATAGTTTGCTCTCTTTTTAGTTGTTTATCATAATGATGAAATACCGTTCTACTTCATCTACAGTGCACAGAATCGTGATATACACGATCCCAACATGCAGTATATCAAAATTAATACCTAAAAATAAAAACTTGCAATTAATTTTTAAGGGGTTTTCACTAGGTACTTAGTATAGAAGCCCTAAATAACCTGGTCACGTAAATGTGCTTCCACAATTCTTAATTGATTTTTATAAAATAAAGAGTTAATAATAGGCTTTAAAAATCCGTCCGTGGTAATCTATTTCTATTTCTTTTTAGCAACAAATACATTGTAATCAACTTTACCCTACTTTTTCTATGTACTTATAAACTTAAAGACATATAGTGCCGCCCAATGAATCTGACATCTAACAGTGTCCAGGATCATGTGTACTATTCAGTATAGCATACCGAAAAATAAACCTTTTCTATTATAATATGCATGTGGATATTCACGATAGAATTGCCAGTTCGACAATCGACACTAATTAATCACTATACACATCATATTAACAAATCTACATGCACAAATATCTAATTTTTACAGCAGTTAACTGTTTTATTCATCAATAAGACACTATTTCAACAATGTTATGTACACCATTAATATGTAATTGTCTTTTGAAAACGTAAAAATATCATGTGAAAGATATAGTTAGTTCATATCTGATCAATGTTAACTCTCAAGAGACCTCTTTCGGCATATCGTATATGGTACTTACTATTTTAAATGTTAAAACGATAAAAGCAATATGTAGAACTCACTTCTACAGTTTGACTAAATATTTTATAAAATTAGTAAAAGCTATAAAAGGAGACGGCAAATATGAATCGTCTACGTCATTGTTCTTTGAAAACGAAAGACGCCAAATATGAAAAGTAAATATCTCTATCAAGTTGCAAACAAATCCAATACCGAAGTTGTTTGAAAATTATGGAAACGACGGTCTCTCTTTATCTTCCTTTATGGACATTTCCGTCTTTTGGACAAAAAGACATCACTAATCACATCAAATTTCTTGAAATTTCACAAATATTGATATTACCAATTATTGAGATTGATTTGGCTTTACAATGATTGAGCTGTTGTACACAAAAATGTTACAGTATATACTACTTGATTCATAACGATCTTGATTTTTTTTTTTTACTCATATAACTGCAAAACATTCTTTCCTGGATCATTTTAAGTCTTAGTCTAATAACTAAAATAGAAAGGATTCTGAACTTAGCTAAGCCCCAGCTAGACCAAAAACAATAACGTGATATTTTGGACTCATTTAGCCATTACGTACTAAAAGACAACAGAGTTGAAAAAAATATATCAGATAAGTATTTTGTGAAATTTTAGTTTCAGTATAGGTTATCATTTTTAATTTGATAACCATTGAAAAAATGGGGAAAAAAATATTTCTTGCAAGCATTTCTTTGTAAATACGATTAAATAATTGTCCATTGAAGTTTCTCGAAAGTCGATATATCCGCATCATCTATTGTACAAAATAATTGGAGGGGACCAAATAAAAAGGAGAGAGACCGGAGACGAAATCTTTGCAAAGCATTCTTGCACTATAATATTTTCTTGAATGTACCTCCAAATTTGTATGATTGTATCTACTACAACATCTTCTCCTAGTTAGCTTCGTAGAATCGGAATGCATGCGCAGTACAATGGAACACGACGTCACGACAAGAATCACTGAGATACCAAACTCCAATAAGCGAGAAGATTGAACTCAGTTCAGTTTTTCATTTGGTGTTTTCCCTCGATCTTACACTTCCGCAACGAAAGTGATAACTGTCTCCCTATTAGAAAGTTTCTTTTGGGGTCATGATCAATCGTAAAGTCAGAGGTAGCAAAAGCATTATTGAACCCCACTTAACAAAGTTACGAAGAAGTTAAAAGAGAGGATAAATGTTTCTGTGTGGTGTTCAATAATGGGATGGTGGTGTTTCTGTGTTTCGACTTTCTAAAAAATAATTGGCGTGTGGTTTATGTGTGTAAGGTTTGTGTATACATAGGGAGGGTCGTGACCATCACGATCTATATATTATTTCTTACGTTAGTATAGGTTACGTTGATTTTCATTTTTTGTTAAAGGGCCTAAAAAATAAACGCCGTTGCCGGGGATCGAACCCGGGTCACCCGCGTGACAGGCGGGAATACTTACCACTATACTACAACGACCTTGTGTTTATATTGACTTTCTCCTTTATTAGTCTTAGTTCTATGATAAATATGATATCATACAATTAGTTTTAGGGAAATCATATGATTTTCTTCCGGATTATAAATGAACACGCTTACCAAAACAGGAAAGATTGCTGAGGAAGAAAGTAAATGAGAGAACGAAAAAGGAAACCAAGAAGATCTCGAGAAAAAAATACCGTCGTCGCAATTGCCGGTTAAGGGCTCCCACTCAATTGAGATAGGAAAGTAATCAAAAAGGAGAAAAGAGCAAAGTCTCTAACTGAGACCGAAGGGGCTGAGAGAAAAAGAACTCGACTCACCCTAACATCGGTGTCACATCTTTATTTTTGTTTTTAGAAGCCATGGCGGAAGCATCTAAAGGTGTTTCTTCTTATGCTGCCAAGGAAGAATTACTTCGTCAAGAAACTTCTTCTGTGAAACGTGAAGCTACCGGTAAGAAGCCTATCAGGGCAAAAAAAAGGGCGGGAGCGAGTGGTGGTCTTGGTGCACGGAAGCTTACTACTAAGGTATAATTAAGTCTAGGGTTTTTTTTTGGAGCATTAACGTGTCTGTCCTCTTGTTCAGATTTTTAATAATTCGTTTTTTCTTCTTTCTCGTAAAATTCAGCAAGACGAAAATATCTACGAGCAGTCAACGGAGGAATCATCTTCGAGTTCGAATAGTAACAGCGGGATCGAATCATCAGCTGTTTCATCATTAACTACTCGGTTTGAGTTCGAAGAAGACTTGCAATCTGGAGGAAAGAGCGGTGGTGGTACACATGTGCTTAGCCATGTTTCTTCACTAAAGCCATCATATGAAGCAAGAAAGAGGTTTTTAAACGCAAAGTCCATATCCTCTGCTCAATTTTTTGGGGACTCGGATAAATATGCTGATCCTGATGAATCAAAACCTACCGATGAGGAGTCGTTGGTGAGTTGATAAAATTTGCCACCATTATTTTTGTCAAACACTTGTTGCCATGTCTGTTGGATGAATGTTTTATTTGATGTGTTCGCAGTTGAAGAATAATTTCTCACTGGTAGGGAACATAGTGGGCAAAAACCTCAACACTTTGGCTTTTGCTATAAAAGAGTAAGAATTTTTGGCCGTAGCATTTTTATTTAGCCTTGGCATATGGATATTATTACATCTTTGTTTGTTTTGCTTTAGTTTTTTTTCTTATAAGTCTGTTTGTTTGTTTGGAATTTTGCAGTGCTTTCTTGAAGATGTCAAGCCAGGACTATGTCCTTTATGCCCTCCGTAGGGACGTGAGTGACTTAATGCAGAGATTACATGGCGAAGGTGCTGATGCCATCCCTTTTGCCACTCGTCTGCGATGGATCCAAGATATGTTTCGCCCAGTAAGCTACGCTTGAATCCCTCTCAGCCTTTATTTAACCCTAATCGTCAATAACCGGACAATTAGAAAGTGTTCCGGAATTTCATCCGAGTCAGGTTTAAAAATATTGCTAATCGTTTTCATAAACATGGTCTTTTGGTTGGTTGATTGATTCCAACAGGTAATAGATGCCACAATAGGGGATAACGCTTTCAGGGATGACCAAGAAGACTACGCTTTCAGGGATGACCAAGAAGACTTGGTTAATGCACTACAACAAATTTGTTCATTGATAGCAGACGACGATTAACGCTATAATATGTGTAAGATAGTGTTTTATCATGTGCTACGTTAGCCGGTGATATAACAGAGTCGACACATACACATACTATAGCATTTTATAATTATGCTATAATGTATTAACACATACATATACTAAATTAAACCCGTGTATACGCGGATTTATTTTAAGATTTTTGAATAACTCATAGAAATATATTAGACAAAATTTGATCACTTTTAAAAGTAAATAGAATAATATTAAAAATCTGATAACAAATATCTAAATAAAGTAAAACTGATAAATTTTTACATTTTTATCATCATTGATATTTTTTTACATTTTTATTATCAATGACATTTTCTACTTTTCTTGTAGTGAGGAAATCCGACGTGATACATATGGTTTACTGAAAGAACTACTCCGCTGACGTAAACCCCTTGATTGGAAGATAAAACTAGCTACTCTTGGAGATAGAAATCAGTAGTTAGTAGACCAAGTTTATTTACAGCTGTTTTTTTATTATTTACGACTGTTTTTAATATGTTGAAACTATTGTATTGGGGATTCTAACTATCTAGAAAGACATTCGTGACAAAATCAAAATATGTGATATGATATTATAATAGAATGTTGGCAATATATATTGGTCTTTTTCTTAAAAGAATTTTTAGACGTATTGCATAATGTTCATAATTACATTTGATTAATTTCGCTACTCTGTGGAGTAAAAATATCTAGTGTTAATTAACACGAAATTAATAAGTCAAATTTTGGCTCCCAAAAGACAGAAGCAAAAATAATATAACCAAATGAGATTGAGACAGGCAGAGACGTGGGTGCAGACAGAAGAAGGGAAGTTGTCGTGCCAGTAACTAAGCTTCTAAATATAGATCCAAGAGACAAAAACCAATAAAAAGTCCCGTAATTGTAGAGAAGAAGGATTCTATAAGAAGACAATTAGAAGAAAAAAAAACACAACAAGGATCACCAACGAAAGAGAGAGAATTAAAACTCAAGGTACATGTCTCCCTTTTTCTTTCATCAAATTTCTTCCAATTGCTATTTGCTTCTCCTCCGTTCATTATATTTGCAATCTTCTTGCATCGCTTATGTAAAAATCTTGCTTCTTTTTTTATTGAATTAGACACAAAACAGATAAGATTTGAATATGACGATCACGTGATATTTATGGCGTTTTCTTTAGTTTTTGATTCATTAGAGGATATATGTTTGTGTAGGTGTGTGTAGAGAATGGTGAACATTAGAGTACAAAAAGGTCCGGAGTCTCCGAGGACGGAGGTTGGAGAGATAGACACGAGAGCACCGTTCCAGTCGGTGAAAGCTGCCGTGAGCTTGTTCGGTGAAGTTGCCGTCTCAAGGCAAAGAGGTACTCCAAGGAGGTCTCGCCTCTCCTCCGAGGTAATCAATCTTAAGAACACAAAACATCAATCATCAAAACTTGATCAAGAACGGGTCATATATCATGGTTGACCATTATTATAGACATCTTAAATGACAAGAACATTCAACTTTTCATATGTTTTGAGTATTAGCAATTAAACCTAAAACTTATTCTTTATTATTATTATGTTTCAGAGCGTTTGTGATAAAGAAACGCAGCTAATGCTTGCACACAAGGAATTCACAAAGATCAAACAAAAGCTAGACAATGCTGAAACCACAAGATCTCGTGCGCTTTCTGATCTCTCCAAGGCAAAGAAGACAATGGAGGAACTTAGCAACAAGCTTGAGACTGTTAACAAGTCTAAGCAATCCGCTATTGACACCAAAGAAACCGTGCAACAGCGAGAGGAACAGCTTGAGCATGATAAGTCCCATGGCTCTCCTCCTCACCACCACGAACTTGACGATGCTAGAGAACAATATCTCTCCACCACCGTTGAACTCGACGCTGCAAAGCAACAGCTGAACAAAATCAGACAGAGCTTTGATTCCGCTATGGACTTCAAAACCACTGCCTTAAACCAGGCTGCAGAAGCGCAACGTGCGTTACAAGTAAACTCTTCTAAGGTTAACGAGCTTTCCAAGGAGATTTCTGATATGAAGGACGCGATTCACCAGCTTAAGCTAGCTGCTACTCAGAATCTTGAAGAGTACGGCAATATTGTTAAAGAGAAAGACGATTTGCGAGAATGTTACAGGACGGCCGTTGAGGAGGCAGAGAAGAAACTTCTAGGGTTGAGGAAAGAATATGAGCCTGAGCTCTCTAGGGATCTTGAGGTCAAGCTGATGGAGACAACTTCAGAGATTGAGGTTTTACGAGAGGAGATGAAGAAAGCTCATGAATCAGAAATGAACACGGTCAAGATTATTACAAACGAGCTTAACGAGGCTACGATGAGGCTACAAGAAGCTGCTGATGACGAATCCTCTCTCCGGACCTTGGTGAACTCTCTAAGGATTGAACTTGGAGACATAAGAAGAGAACGCGAAGAGTTGCAGCAGAGAGAAGCAGAGAGGTTAGAGATTGAGGAGACGAAGAAGCTTGAAGCTCTCAAGGAAGAGAGCTTGAAGCTAGAGCAGATGAAACTAGAAGCTGTGGAAGCAAGAAACGAAGCTGAGAAGATGAACAAGAAAATAGAGAGTTTGAAGAAAGAAACCGAAGCTGCAATGATCACTGCAGAAGAAGCTGAGAAGAGACTAGAGCTTGTTATAAGAGAAGTGGAAGAAGCCAAATCAGCTGAAGAGAAAGTCAGAGAAGAGATGAGGATCATATCTCAGAAGCAAGAGAGCAAGAAAGAAGACGAGTACTCTGGTTCCAAGATAAAGATCACAGTGCAAGAGTTTGAATCTTTGAAACGAGGAGCAGGGGAAACAGAGTCTGCAATCGAGACGAAGCTGGCAGCTATAGCAGCTGATCTTGAAGAGATCAACGCAAGAAGAGCCGAATCGGATAGTAAACTAGCAGCGAGCCTGAAGGCGATAGAGGAGATGAAGCACGCAACGGAATTGGCTCAGAAGTCGGCAGAATCTGCAGAAGCAGCAAAGAGCGTTGTGGAAAGTGAGTTGAGAAGATGGCGTCAACAAGAAAATGTACAACATGCTTAGCTCTTCTTGAAATTCAATCACCTGTATATTAAAAAAACTTGTTTTTGTTCCAACAATTAAGTACAAAGAAAATGATTTAAGAGCTTTTGGTTTTCAAGAACTGAGAAGGAAGAAGACTAATCAGTTTCTGTCTCAAGAAGTCCTCATAACACTCAGCTACGAGATGAACATCGTCCCACTTATCACGGAAAGTGTCTGATTCCGTGGCGAATCTCCGATAAGCGCCTTCTACTTGCTGGATTCTCCATTGCTCAACGTGCGGTGCACAGGTTTGCTCGGCTAACCAGTTGAGGTAATCAACCTGAAACGTACCGAGACGATGTGTGTACCTCTTTGGAATCCCATTAGCATCAAGCATTGCGCAGAAGTCGTTGACGTCTTCCATCATTTCGTCTTGTGAAGGTAACGTGACTCGACCAGACAAAACTGAAGCCACCCACTTGCTTTGGAGCTCAACCAAGAAAAAATGCAGTGACTGGAATTACAGAAACAGAGAGTCTCTGATCAAAGCGGTGAAGATAAAATAAAAAGCCGGAGAAAGAAGATGAGAGAAAGTCGAGAGACTTAAACCATCCATGCTAAACCGATGAAGGAGAGACCAGGAGCAAGCGCAGGAGGGAACACGTGTTTGTAAAGCGGTCCAACACAGTTGTCATCGACTGTGATGTAGTCATTGGTGTTGAGAAATGGGAAGTGGTATTTGTAACCTGTGCAATGCACGATGGTATCTGCTTGTACAACTTTACCGTTCTGGAAGACAATCGAACCATCATCGCGTGCGGTTTCTATCTAGCAACAAAAGTAAAGGCAGCAAAATGAATCAGTCTCTCTGATCTTATCTATCTTTCATTATGTTTCTTGCATTGTGTTTACCATAGAGTGAAGCCATAGATTGTTGGAGCCAGGAAGCTTTTCGTAAGTCTCAGGTGGATTCGATCTAGACGAGATATGGACTTCTTTGGCGAGTCCTGTTATGTCCCTACTGATATCGGATCCACTTGCGAAATTTCCTATCACTACCACCACCTTGCAAAGATTTTAAAACCAACTATGTGAGATATTCTACTGACAATCCAAAACCTTACCTATTAAAGAGTATAAAATAACATATTCCTCGTATGTAATCGAATATATAGATGTCGAAAAGGAAAAAAGAAACGATTTTTAAGTATTAGTAGTAAAAAAAAGTTGATAAATTCAGTAAAAACCTGGTCTTTAAATGGATCAGGAACACGATAGTTGTGGCTGTGAATCTGCTTGCCTGGCCATGAATCGATGCCTAAAATCTCAAATCATGCAAAAAATTTCACATAAATCAAACATGAATTACTTCGAAATCAAAAGTTAAAAACAAAAATTTTCGAATTTCGAATTTTAAGTACCAGGAACATGAGCAAGTCGAGGCTCTGTATAGTGTCCACTGCAAACGACGACGGCATCGAAGATCTCATCGCCATAGGTCCCATCGGAATTTCTTGACTGGATCCTCCATTTCCGGCCTTGGGCCTCGACAAGAACCACTTCAGTCTCGAACCGAACCATCTCCTCGATTTTGAATTCTCTGGCGAAATCCTGAAGATACGCGAGGACTTCGCTGTGACTCGGGTACCTTCTCGGGTCTCTGGATTCGCCGTCTTCGGGTCGGGGCACGAAAGGGAAGTCTCTGAAACCCATGCACTCTCTGGGAAGGTTGGTGCGGAGCGATTCGTAGACGCTCGAGTGGACGATGGTTCGGTTAGGATCCAGGCTAAGCGGGTCGGGTTCGCTTTTTGGTGTGTATACCCATAGACCTCCGACTTGTGACTGGCGTTCGAAGACTACGACGGAGTGAGACTCGCGGTGTAGCTCTCGTGCAGCTGCGAGTCCGGCGGATCCTGCTCCGATCACTGCGACTTGGAGTGAGTTGATTCGACTGCACGGTGCCATTTTTGTTGCTTTTGTTGGTGCGATTGAAAATTGGTTTATTTATATAGGGACCATCTTTGCTTTGGTTTAACCGATTCGGTCTTAACAGTAATCAACATTTTGGTACCGTTAATACTTAATACATGAAATTACCTGTCTTAATTGAAACTTGAACAACTGAAATAAAACACATGTTCCAAAATTTGTTATGTTCTATTCAGATTTTGTAGAGGCATTTTCTTTGACAAGACCCCTAAGCACATAAACTACAAACACTAGGTAGAACAAACTTTGGCCGGTTTGAATGTGGCGAAATAGCGGTAAGCATCTTCCATAAGTTTGATCATCATCGTCCCATGGATCATCACGATAAGTGTCTTCATTTTTCTTAACTGTTGTTAACATTTTTAGTTCACTTCAAATGGAGGATTACTAATGAAAGCAATAAAAAAAACATTAAATAAAAAAGTAGGAAACAAGACAAGTACAAGTTTTGTAACTTCGAAGTAAAACTCGAAAACCAAGACTGTATTGTTTACATTTCAAAACGAAAGAAAATTCTTTTCTTTTTTTTTCGTCATTCTATCCAGTACGCCGAACGATTAAAACGAAATAATCGAGAAGGACCACATCAAATTCTTTAAACTTATTATTCTTCAAGTTTTTATAAAAAACAATACAGTAAATGGTAACGAAATATAATAACTTGGGAAGATATCAATAAATTGAGGGATTTGCAATAAAGAAATAAAGATGGAAAAAGCTGGAAACTGGGCTACAAAGCCTCTACTGTCCCACGACTGTGTTTGGTCCTCTTTCCTCAACCCACACAGATCTGACCAAAATCTCCACTACACGACAGCTGCAACAATATAAACTCTTATATATTTCCTTTTTCATTTTCATTTTCACCAATAATATTTCTAAATATATTCTCTCTCTCTTTTAAAAAAGGACTATTATCGTCAGTTGTCACTAAATGACTAAACAACCCCATTCGATCATAATTAGAAAAAAAGGAAAAAAGTGTGGAATCCTAAACACACCTAAAATCTTTGTCAATAATAATGAAAAACAAAAAAGTTATTATAAATCTCAGAAAGAGATAGCTGATGTTGCACATTAACCACTCATAAGAACCCTTTTCTCTCTCTCTCCATCTCTCTTTCTCTCTCAGATTTTTGAGACTTGAGAGAGTCTCCTCTCTCTCGCTCCTCTCATGATCAGATTTTTTATTTTTATTTTATTCATGTGATAATTACAGATACACGTTATTTGTGTGTATCTATATTTATCTATATTGATTGATGGAGACAATCACCATTGGAATCTGACCATGGATCTCATTTCTTGTTGAGATATTTTCTCCTTTTTTTTTCCCGTCTCCCAGATCTGTTCGTCAACCTGACCATTGGAAAGCTTCAAGCTTTTTTCTTCTTCTGGGTAATTCTTTATTTTAAGCAAAACTATTCATTTAGATTCTTATTTTTATAGTTTTTTTTATATCTAAGGTCGAAGTACTACTACTATGTTTATGTTCGTCATGAAGTTGTTGCTTTTTCCTTTTCCCCTTATAGCTCTAAACTGTTGAATTCGGATTTAGGAAGAATATATTATTTATACTCTGTGTATCTATGTAAATGTAAATAATGAATATATATGGTTATGGTTCTTTTTCTGGAAATTCTTGTAAAGCTTTTATGGAATCTTACACTATAGCATTACTTATTTGCATGTTTTTAGATAAACACTGAAATTTATAATCAGAATGCTGCAGCTCCTTTTTTTGTGCGTGTTTGTTGGTGATCAAATCACTTTAGGTTTCAGTAGAGGTTTTTTAGATTCAAACCTATCTAAAAATATAATCAGATTGCTTTTTTTTGGATCACCAGTAATATTGTACATTGGCGTTGTTGTTAATGTTTGTCCTTTCATAGGCTTTGATCTTGTTCTTGTTCCAAACATTTTAAGGTTATTAAATCAGCTTCCATAGGATGTTCTGTGTATGCTCTAGTAGGTAATGTTCATACTGATACTTTTTAACAGTTAGATTTGAGGTTATTGATCATCTCATTTTGCCATTTGATAGGGACGGGCTATAAAATAAAAGTGTTAAAGACCAGAAGAAACCACAATGTATTTCTTCGGATTGTCCAAGGAAGAAGTGTTGTCACAGAAACATGTTGTATCATATAAAGAGACTTCTAAGCAGAATCCTATCAATATGGTCACTCTATTTGGGAAACAGGTAAAAGAACATTGTAACTTATTCAGATCCTCGTTTAGTCCTTTAAGATGTTTGTTGTTAAGAAAAAACAGTAGAACAGATTGCTTCATCAGACTTTCATTTTCAGGTGTATCAGAAAAGCGAGAGCTCCAATTGCAGTGATGGATATATGAAAAGAAACTCCTCTAAGCTGCTGATGAAAGACATTGATCTTCGTCTCCCTGCAGATCACTACACTTGTAATAACTTTCATGAGACAGTTGGTTCTCGCAATGTTTACGGCATTGGAGCCGTAGAGAGGGGATTGCATTCAGCGTTTGAAGCTAATAAGGCAAAACAAGCATTAGCCACAAACTGGAGTGGCAAGAGAAACCCAAGAATTGTTATTGATCTTGAAGAAGAACCTCCCACAACAGAGCATCATGCAGACTCTGTTAGCTACGTTACTATGAAAAACCCTGAAACAATGCCGTCGTTCTTGACTGATCGGATCAGCTCAAACACAGTGAAGCCGGCGGATCAATCTCTCGTTGAGGATGAGAGTAGTGATAAGACAACTAACATGGAGTCATGTTTACTTGATCTTAATGAAACCCCGGCTGATGATGAGTTGGTTTCAGAGCCACACTACTGTTTCTTGCAAGATCTCAACTGTCCGTATATCGAAGAAGAGACGGAAACGAGCTGCGAGAAGAGCGGAGTAGATGATGGTCCTACGCCGCTTAGCTCTCCTACATGCCAGAACGTCCATGAGAAAGATGGTACAGCATCTCCAGCTTCATACACTTCTTGCTGCACCACTGAAAACAACTCGAGGACTGAGTCAAGAATGGAGCCTTCTTGCCGCACCAGGCTTGAGTTTCCTGTCACGGAAGAAGAAGTCTTACTGGAGAATGGATGTTGTAGTGAGGAGGAAGAAGAAGAGTCGTCTGAAATGATTCAAATGGCTGCTGAGTCACTAGTTCGCATTTCGGTGGTTTCATATCAAAATCAAGACTTGCAATCAAAGCCAGTGTCAAGAACCAACAGCTCATCTCAAGATCAAGACTTTCCAGATAAACCAGGATGCGGTTCCTGCGATTCGTATGAGCTACACACGTTAGGAATAAGCGAAACCAACACTGAAGAAGATTTCTGTGTGACATCAATGGCTCAAGATGAGCTTAATAACATGACGAGAGATAACAACAAGAAAGAGATTGGACTCAAGCTGAGAAGAGGGAGGAGAATGAAGAACTTCCAGAAGGAGATACTCCCTAGCTTAACGTCGCTCTCTAGGCACGAGATACGCGAAGACATGAACATCTTGGAAGCGGTTTTGAGGTCAAGAGAGTACAAGAAGATGCAGGGGAAGACTAAAGATGTGAAATTTGGAGCAAACCAGAGAAACAAACGTTCAGCGACACAGAGGTACGTTGGTAAAAGAAGGCGAAAAACAGAGTGATTTGTGCATTACCTTGCCGGTTTTTTTCGGATTCTTTCATACAATTTGCTTCATTATGTGAACTTTAACAGTCTATGTTGTTAAATTTTTTTATCTTTTTTTAACTTGTGACATTGTTTATGATAAGAGGAAACGGTAGTTCAAACCAACTTATGGGCCGTGGCCCATTTAGATCCGAAGACTAATTTCTTATCATTACATTTTCAAATGGATTTCCAATCTAATCTTCAAATAATCGTAGTCTCGGTTTTTTTTTTGGTAATCATGTTAAAATTTCATACCATTTTCCAAAAGTTTACATGTTGCAGAGCAACTTAATACAGCGAAAAGAAACAAATACAACCCAATACAAGAGAGAACAAATACAAACCGTATAGTCTCGGTTTGAATTTTCCAAGTTGTTAATGTTTCTGCCGACCGTGAAGATTTAAGTACTAGTAGAAATTACATAAATAGTGATACCCATTAATTTAATCACGTTTTTCGCAAAAAGAACCCAACAATTATCTTGGTCCTACATTTAGAAATTAGACTCTTTTTTGGTGAAACCTGGAAGTATATTAATTTAATATAATCAACATGAGTTTAGATGCCAAAGAGGAATCTGAAGGAATCTACAGCACAATAATTGAGTTCATGACAACCCAATGAAAAGTGAATTGTTAAAAAGAAAAAGTTAATTCTTCCCCCTTTCATGTCTTTTCTGAGTCAAAGAAAGACACATTAAATTGAACTAGTGTTCTTTTGACAAAAAGTTCATGATGACTTGTCTGTGATTGGCTCATCTAGTCTCCAGATCCAGAAAGTCTCATCTCAACATTATTGCTCTTCGGCAATCATTACAGTAAATCAGTATGTTACAATAATAACATTAATACACTCTCTTTTTAAGATATTTCCGTGGAACACAGGCGAATCATATCATATATTGCAGCCAACTGGTATTGTTTTGTAATGTGAATTTGGGTCCAACCAATACATTATTGTCAAAAGAGATAATCAAGAAAATTGATCCGAGGATAATAGAAATGAAACCTGTGGGAACTTTTTACCTACCTAAAATTTATAAAATGAAAGCTAGTTGAATTACAAATTCAGATATACCTCTCTTGACATATATATATATATACTTTATTCCAGCTTAACCCAAAATAGAGGATTTTTGAAAGTTTTATCAGAAGCATATCGTTAGATTAGTATGGATTAGAGTTCATAAATCGATGGATTTGTCCATATGCAGGAATGGATATAATTGATATACGTGTCCATGCCAGAAGTTATCATATACGTCCAAACTCAGAATTTAAAGCTACATGATTGGTGTTGGGGAATATTTGAGAAATTATAATCTAAAATTATCATTTTGTATCTGAAACTAGATAAGAGTTGGGAGACAACAGTTAGACATACAAACGTGCACAGAACATTCCTTATCATTTTATATCGAAGCATTTTAGAGAAATTGCAAAACAAACCTCCCTAGCTGCTTTTAGCTTATTTTCTATAAATTTGGAACAAATGCACGAGGGGTTTATCTTTTAGGGACATCAAACCAATTCACAAATGATTTCACCAGTAATAGCGGAGTTTTATTTGTCTCACGACGTTGTGGCCGTATGGGACATCCGATCAGCTACATCTACATAGTTGAAATATAATATAAAATTAACTAGTGTATAAGGTAAAGGGATCATATAGTAAATCATAGTGATCATTGTCATATAGTTTTAATGGTTTTTCTTTTACAACTTGTGTGTTTATATATATGATTGGACAAGCTCCCTAATAATTCAGTAGTCACTTGACAAATAGTAACCGAGGGACCAATCGATCCAATAGGTTCTCCGAATTCGGGTCATATATAAATTCAGCTATATACAAATATAAAAGAAGAGATAACTTGAAATATTAGGTTTTTGACTAATGGTAGTTGCACCAAAAAAAAAAAAAAAGACTAGGGGAAAGAAAAAGAAAGGAAAACTGGAAAGTCAAACAAAAGACGTCAATTGCGTTAAATCTTAGAAATTTGACAATTTCTGCTTTTTTACAGACCCGAATGGGAAAACTTTAACCCTTATCGGTCGGTCCGTTATTTGTCCACTCGGAAACAAAGAGGTAATTGAGACAATCAATATAAAACATACCACAAAACTCAAAATCAAATTCGAACATATTGACATAGACACAAATATTCATCATAATCATGATCATGATCATTAATGACCCATGGGAATATTTGGCTCATCTTCCAACTCAATCCCGACTTCAGCTAGCCTCTTGTCCTTGTAAACGTACCACTTGGAGAAAACGAGGAAAATGCAAAAGTTCAAGGCAACAAGTACGGCCACAAGCCAATAGAAATTGTAAAGACGCCCCTTGTTGAGATCATCAGCGATCCACGGATGAGTTTTCCCGGTGAATTGCTCGACGATAGTCACGAGAACGGAGCTGAAGAAAAACCCTAGCGCCAATGTGCTCAACAATAGACCTGTGCTCATCGTCTTCATACCTTTAGGGCACTCTCTCAAGAAGAAATCCAACTGTCCTGTGTAGATCAATGCCTCACCGATACCGACAATAAGGTATTGTGGGATGAGTAGATAAAACCCTAGAGGAAGCGTTTTGACTGTTGGACCGTGGGAATGAGCGGTTCTAAGACGTTTGATCTCTACCAAAGCAGCTACGGCCATAGCCATGGATGCGAATACGAGCCCTAAACCAATGCGTTGAAGTGGTCTTAGACCTTGGGGGTAGTTGAATAGCTTTCTGCAAAGGCGAATGGCCACCCGGTCGTAGAGGGCGGTGGTTATGAGAAGGCCGCCGACATAGAAGACGGCCATCGAGGCTGGTGGAATCTCAAAGCTCCCGATGTGACGGTCCATCGTCTCGGATTGTGCGACCGATAATGTCGTCAGTTGTGCATGGACGGTCCAAAAGAGGATGCATGTTGCCCAAACTGGTAACATCCGTACGATTTGTTTCACTTCCTCAACATCGGTTAGTGTTGAAAGTGTCCATTTGTTGAATACGTTTTGGGTCATTGCCGCTTCTTGGTCCTTTATTGCTGCCTTGTCCAACGAACTGTTTTATCAACAATATGATATCAGGAATTATTGTAATACATACAATTAAACTAACCATTAAACAAGGAAATTGGTATGAACATGGCAGTAGATTTTACATTATTACATATGCACATACGTAAATTAATTATTTTAAAATTAAAATAGGGAAAAGGTATAAAAGGCGATTAACTTAGTAATACTCAGGAATTGGAACACAAAAAAAAAAGTAATACTCAAAAAAAGAAAAGACAAATTGAATGAAGCACTGAGCACGCAAAGCACGTGCCGTAGACGTGAGACGGTAGGGTTCTTAAGCCTAACTTTGGGTCTGGGCTGGTGAAGGTGTAAAGTAGTGGAGGTGTTACGACACGAAACGTGATCATTCCACTACAAGACAAAACAACTGGCTTCCCTAACTTGTCGTTTCTACCTATTTATTTATGTTTATTTCCAAAACTAGCGAGACTGAAATATCTAGAGAGGGTAAAGAGATTTTTTTTATAGAAGTATCTGAAAAATTAAAAGTAATTTGATTCCTTTGGATTCTTGTGTGTATATTTAGGGATGCATAGGGATTGATGCATAAAAGATACAGTACTTAAGGTTGGGAAGGAAAAAGAGAAAGATACTGTACTTAAGAAGGAAAAATCACGAGTCAGGTGTATATATATTTTTGTTGGGCAACATATATATATTTACGTTTCAAAGCAAGAGAATCTCTTGATGATAATAATAATAGGGAATAATATACTAATAAAATAAAACAGATTGAAATATGATAAATATTTTATTTACCGCAACTTGTGGCTAAAGCTACTCTCTTTTTGAAATAACCAAACAAATATAATAGAGAATATAATCCCACTTATAGGTGTGAAATTTTTCTAAGATTTTGCGTTTATAGGTAAAAAAATAAAGATGGAGAATATAACCCCACTTGCATATTCCTAATGATTTCACTATTTTTATAATCTGATTTTATAGAATCTTTCTGAGAAACTTCTCTTCTTTTCTTACCTATATGTATGTGTATTGAACTTGACGGGCTATCTAACGTAAGTACACACAGATAAATATAGAATTATAAAATCCAACATAAATTGTAATTAGCTGTAAAATTGGTATCCTGGACCAGTTTCGTTGTATGGTCGACTAATATTATCATTATGATATTTTCCCCATAACAAGAGACAAATGAAATTATTCAAGCCCTTTTAATTGGATTCTAATGCCAAGTAGGCACATAATGAAAATAATTGCGGTCCCCCTTTTAATTAAAGGACACGAGCTTTTCGAGTTAATTCCCACCCACACAGCCCCACTTTTAACTTCACATTTCTCAAGTCTATTTATACTCACATTCAATTAACCTACACGTCAATTATTTGTTGTAAATTTTAACCTTGAAATTATTTTAACCTTTAGGACTCGGACGTGTGATTTGTTTGTTTAAGTTAATTAGTGGAACAAAAATGAGCTAATTAGACAATAGAAATCGTACCGGAATTGTTTGGTATGCGGCAGCTTTTGTTTACTCTTCAGCGAACCTTCAGCCGCAATAACATCGTCCAGGTCGTAGAGATACGACGGATCCGACGGCAACTCGAGCTTTCTATTCCTCCACGCCGCCACAATAACGGCAGCAACTTGCGTCATCGGGCTACCGATCAATTTCTTGAAACGGTAGCGGTTTGTGCCGGCTAAGAAAACGCTTAGTGCAAGCACGATTGATAACGCGCAAAGGCCATAACCCCATTTGCGTCCAACATCGTCTTGTATGTAGACAAGGACCGTCACGGCACAAAGAGAGCCAACGTTGATACAAAAGAAGAAACGGTTGAAGAAATATGTCATTTGTGACCGTTCTTTCGGTTCAGTCTCATCAAATTGGTCTGACCCGAAACCGGAGACGCTTGCCTTCACGCCTCCGGTTCCTAGGGCCGTGAGGTATAAGGCCAAGTATAGGACCGTCAGTTGTATTCCAGTGGCTTGTACGCAATGAGAAGACGTCGTTGGGTCGCATCTTGGTGGTCTAAGTCCCGGTATGATCGTTGAGAGGGTTAAGATCGACACACCCTAATAATCATAGTCATAACATAAATTAAATATGATTTTTTCGGAAAAAAAATAATACCAAAATAAAGACTTATATCGTTTACTATTTTGATCTGCTGAGTGATAAGATTAGTCAATATCTATAGTTTCTATCGTTTTCTTGGCTATAATTTTTGGTAAGGCGAAAGGGACTTTTAAGGTCCTTACCGTGGCTTGGATTGCGGCGAATATAGCAATCGTTAGGTACCTATATGAAACAAAATTAATTAACTCACATTAGCAAAAGAAATGAATGAATTTATTTAAACTATTTATTTAGGTATGCAGATTTATATATCAAATACAAACCTGCCGAGAAAGGTGTCGGCGATGAAGCCACCGAGGAGACAGAGCATGAAAGAAGTTCCGAGGAAGTTAGTAACGGTGTTAGCCGCTGTTGCATTGCCTAAATGCATAGTTCCCGTCAAATATGTCACCAGATTAACGCCGATACCTAACGTCGTCAGTCTCTCGACCGCCTCAATACCTTCACATAATTATAAATGAAATAAAAGTTAGATACATCAGAAGTAACGAAAAATGAAAACGAATTCCACAAGAAAAGAACCCAAAACTATTAGGAATTAACTTATATTTTTACTATATGCGCACAAAAAGACAATTTTTGTCTTCTGGTTATATAAATTGTTGATTACGTACAAACCGGCTTTCTCTAGAACTTTAATAATATGTGATAATAACTTACAGAGAATCATGGCGGCGCTGGCCCATCCACCGGTTTTAGAGCGATCGGCGGGGCGGCCTTGGAAATCCCAAGCATCTAGAAGGGTTTGAGATTTGGTTTCAGGAAGAGACATATCTTGAAGATGCAGGATGAACAAACTTTTGCAGATTTTTTTTAGGGGAAGGGGGGGGGAGGGGGGGGGGGGGTTTGTTCTTATGGGACAGTTGTTTTGGTAAATTACAAGCACATAGAAAAGGCTGTTTTGTTTGAGAGCTTTTGGTTTCTTTAGTAATATCAAATGTGTTCGTCTTTGGAGTCTTGATACATCTATTTATACTGGGAAACTTGCTAAGCTTTAAAAAAAAAAAAAATGTTTTCGTTTAATTTTTATACATAAAATATAAAATTGAAGAAAAAAGTGACACATGTGTGACTTTGATGAGTGTCGTCTGATTGGGGAGAGAATTATGATATAAAAAATATACATATATATATGCCCTTTGTCTCTGTATATATATATATGTGTGTGTATAGAGAGAAAGAGAGAGAGAGAAATATTACCACTTCCTCTGACTTTGGAACTGTGGGCTTGAACCTTTAAAGTTAAAGTCATTGGTCATTTTTTCAGTGACTCAATGGCATCAAGCGTGTCAATTTTAACCAGCCTCCTGAGCTATTATTACGCAGAATAAAATATGTAAGAAAATTCACTAGAAGCGTTGTTCGATTTTTGTTTTATTTCGTTATTTCGATGGAAAAATAACTTTTTGTCCATTTTGTTGTTCCATAGCACATAAGCAATATTTATATGTTAGATATTATATTTTATTTTGTCTGACTAAGTAAAAAAGATCTTAGAATTTTTGTTCTCTTCTTTCAAAAATTATAATAAATCTATTATGGGTTTTTATTGGAACTTTTGGAAAAAGTGGTGGCAGAGTTGTGAATCATATTGGATAGTGGATACTAACGCCTAATCAATGTTTTTCTTGCATTATACTAGTAATATATAAAACCATATTCAGTGAAAGTCAATAAAAGTTAACTTAGGTGTTTGTTACAAAACTGAAGCTAAAGATATGTAGAGTTGGTCTGATTACATTAATGTACCAACTTTCTTCTTTTGTGTTAATGGGAAAGTCTAGATCGAGGATTAATGGCTCAAAATGCATGCTTCTTAGACGCCACTCAAATCAGTCATGCTGCAAAATGATTATTGGCTTACTTTTTATTTATTTAACATTCAAATGAAATAAATTAAGCTGAACAGTGTGACTATAGTCACATGAGTTTCATGAACTATATACAGGTTTGTTTTTCTTTTAGTTAGGACCCTTGCAATTTCAATGGTTCTCTTTCTATCTTGAGAAGCACAAAGAAGAAGAAAGAACAATGAACCACTTGTTTTGTTTTTTCATTTTAGAATGATTACAATTATATAAAAACAAAATAACTCATTTTAGTCATATAAAGATGGGTAAGGAAAACGTAAGTTACCTAGTTTTATGGCAAGTCTCAGAGGTTATGTAAATTTGTAAAATATCCAAGAAAAAAAAGTCAATCTCCAAGAAATAAAATAAAGAGTTGTATGTTACGAACATTACTAAAACATACAACATTTTTTTTTGGAGTAATGTTATTATATCCTATAATTAAATTCGTGAAATTCATTTGATGCTCTTTGTCATGACATCTCTTTCCAATAATCGATATGCAGATCGATGAAATTTCAAACCCATAAATGGAACACCTTTTGTAGTTTCTTTTTATATTGGTAGTTTCATATGGCTTTGTTTACGATAATATCCTCGACAATCGATTATTTGTGCACATCCAAAGATTGCGGAAGAGCGAACAAAGGTGACAAGTGACAACGGGGAGTCCCATCCAAAAAGTGGAGGAGAACGAATGGTGAACCCAAAATTATTATCTTCTATTGAATTAAATTATGCAAGAAGAAAAAAAATACATTACAAGATAATCATATTCTCGAAAAAGGAAAATATTGATCAAAATGGATGGATCATAATTTTTGGGCGGAGCTGGCTTTGCATATAGCTATAGGGATATCTCAGGGCCCAGTTTATTTGGCACGTGACAGTAGTGGGACCACCAGAGATTCTCCCCCAGCGTTGACTCGGTCATTCCAAGAGGATGAATCCATATTAATATTAGCAGTTTAGCACGAAGTCACGAACAACTACTATACCGTCTATACGAAGTTTTGCTTAAGTTTTAGGTAATTAATTTAACTTTTCACGATAAATGTTAAACAAAATGATTCCTGTACTGCACAATTTTTTATATTTCATATTAAAAGTGGCGATTCACAGTTTACAACAAGACGTATAATTCACTATGCAGAAGTAGGATGAGTGCTTTTGAAAAAAAAAAAAAAAAATTGAACCCAACAAAATGTAATAAGTACTATACTTTTTAACCAAAAAAAAAAGTACTATACGAAGTTTGGACCAAACAATTTTAAATAATCGTTTGACTAACCACAGAGAAAAAGTTCTTTACGGCAAGTGTTAACTGTTAACTATACGAAGTTTTTTTTTTTTTTTTTTTTGGTAAAATAACTATACGAAGTTCTTTACGACAAGCGTTAAAGCCCTAGATTTATATTCCTACTTTTATAGAGAAATGGTGATAGTGTACAACTGTGCATGTAAACCATTTTTGACTTGAGAAAAGCTTTTATTCAACATATGAACCATGGCTCCTGAGTCGAGACTCACTTTTGATACTGTTTGTAAAATTCTTCGTCTTCTTCAGAAACGACTCAAACTTGGGAGCAAAAACTGACCTCCCTTTTATCAAAACAAAAAAATCAACCTCCCTCTAAATGAATTGTTGTTAACCAAGTTATGCGATTTACATATTTTATCACCAACACGCTTGCAGTAAGATTCGAACCTGCAACGAGGAGGTAAAGTCAACCATGGTGCTTATTTTTATAGATAAAGCTTTGGCGAGAATGCCTTGGAGCTTTACTGTGATTAATGAATACCTTTTACAAAAAATAAAAATAAACATGTAGGGTCTAATGTCTAACATTGACAAACTTAATGATTTAATAATAATTATATGATATCTATATTCCAGCAGGTGACGAAGGAAGAAAAAAAATACAGATTCAATTTTTATACAGTTGATTGAATCATGAAGAAGGAGAGTATCGAATTAAATATTTGGGTATGAATCCTTCGGAGGATCCCAAAGGCCATGGTTGACCAAACATTGGAATGACAACTTGTTCAATAATAGAATGTTAAACAATATTGTAGATACATGTTTTCTTATTATAAAGAGGATTATGTTAGAATTATCGGTTCGGGCGTCCTGATTTCGTCATTACGAAACTAGTTAACAACGTCTCTAGGAGAAGTATATGGCTCAGTTGGATGGAAACGAAGACATCCACTTGTCACAAAACGGTGAAACAATTACTATATATAATCTTTCTGACGTCAAGTTTTATTTTGGTTTTATAGATAAATCATAGCTTTTGTTTTTCAACAAGTCCAACTCTCGAAAGCTAGAATACGAATTAATGAGTAAAAATAAAAATTTAACATTAAATATGTATAGAAAAACAATATGATTCGAAATTTAATCCAACCACCTAGCCTCCCCATTAAATCATTGTAGACACTTGCATATACAAACGAAATTCATAACAATTTCTTGGGGCAGTTGTGAAAGTGATTTTAACCAGGTTATCGTATATAAGGATTATAGAAGATCATACATTTCAGTTATCTCTTATCGCATGTCTTTGATTTGATTTTCTTAAAAAGTTTACAAAGTTGTTTGTAGACTATTGGCTATTGCAATGAAGAAAATGTGATGTGCCTTTGCAAACCACAAGAATATTAACATACGTTTGATACTAAGATTCTGAAAAAGTATATAGATATTGATCATCTCTGCGTAGTTTTTCTTTCTTTTGATTAACGAGGTTTATGTGAAATTTGAATTTGAAAACAACAAACTAATCTGAACCAGGTTAGCGTATAAAAGATTTGTACTTTTAGAATGCAAACTTCAATTTTGGTCCATGTAAATCACGATTTCGATCAAGTTTGTAAATAGAATCACATATTCATAATGTACTCACATCTCTCAGTAACAAAATAAGATTTTTTAGTTAGTTAAATGAATCACATTTGAATTATTGAAATAACTACTGCGATTTTCAGATCACGAAGATAGTACTAGTTTCGAACTCAGTTTAACAATACTAAAACGATACTCATCCGGTTACGTTAACCGTAGTTGAGTTATTTAATCATTTGGGTTTCTCTAGTCGGACTCAGTATTTAAAGCAAAGAAAGAAAATAAATAGCTACATGTCTGAAAAAGTATAGATGATGACGGATGGGCGGCACAAGCCCTCTTATATTAAAAAAAGTCAAACCCTAATATCGAAAAAATTGAAATTATTGTTTTTGACTTTCCGGTTCGGGGACAAATCCATACTACCACACATTGTTACAAGAGCATGTGTTTTCTGTTTAGATGCATCTATGAGATGTAGATGTATTGATATGTACATGAAATGAAGGTTATACCAACTCATTACGACCTTTGTCACTGAGAATAGTCGATTTATTTACATCCCAAAATAAAAGAGAGGGGATGGTTGATCCATTCGAAACGAAAACCATAATGTTTCTTTAGGGTTATGTTTGCATTTGCAATTTTTAAAATATAAATGATAATTATAAATTTTCAATATTTTTAGAAACACTTTCAAAATTATATATAATTCATGACTAATTATTTACTATGTATTTCATACAGTGGCCGATGACCATTGTTGTTAATAGAAAATAATCTAAGAATAATAGGTGTGATTGTCGTAGCAAGAAATTCAAGAACTATGTTGAACTGACATTCGAACTGGATATACAATAAGAAGCAAATATTCACGTAATAAAACAAGATATCAACCTTGGTGTTGAAGGTGACGGTTTAGGAAGTTGGGATATCTTTTCCTAGTTTTTTACTTGTAGAAAGAGAGGATAATATGTTCGAATTTTTTTTTTTGTAGAAAGAAAGGCGACTCGAAAAATATACACTGTGATTTTCATGAATTGTATCGTCGCCGTTTAAAGTTTCGCATTC